GCAAAGGTAAGGGTTTTTTATAGTACGAACAATAAGGATGTGGCATTCTCTGCCTGAAGAGGTCTATACAGATGTTTAAACAGCAATTGGATAAATACTTGCAAACGCATATTACTCAGGGATAACATTAGAGGGGTAATATTTTCTGGATCCAAGGAGATATCGGGCTCCCATTCTGGGGTAAAGAAGGAATTTCTTACCTAGTTTGTTTCTAGTGTTTCAAACTGTTTTATTTTTTTTGCCTTTTTTTTGGATCAACAGCAAAAACAGATGTGAGAAAGGCTGAACTTGATGGACGCAGGTTTTTTTCAGCTATGTAAATATGTAACTAACTATGTAACTATGTATATTTCATATGACACAATTAGGTTAGTGTTAAGATAGTTTAGGAGTTAATGGCTTGTGTTAGTCTACTATAGGGGTTACTGTTTAATGTGTAATATATTGGGGTAGTGTAGCGGTTAAGTAAAGATCTTTAAAATGTGTTTTACCGCTCTGGAGTGTAATTCTCAGACATAAGCCATGTATATGATTACTGAGATTAGAACCTCCAGACTACATTACAGTGTTCAAGTGTTCTATGCATTATTACATATTCATTACAGCAAATAATTGCACAGATCATGTTACTGTTCATGGAGTACGGGATTCTAAAGCACGAAATGAAATTAAAAATACGATTTTAAATATTATATACATAATATATATACATAATATATTTAAATCTTGTAATACTAGGATAATCAGTTATTAAGAGTAAAAGCTATATTTGTAATTTATTCCAATGAAATGCCACTTACTAAATAGAGATGTATTACTGTATTACATTACTTTGGAAAAAGAGAGAGAGACATGATAAAATGTTCCATTACTTTGCTGAAAATAATTGTGCAAAGTACTTTTGTATAATGATAAAATGAATGCACTATCCTAACCTTTCTACACACAGCAATGACTCCAATTATAAGATGAAATAGTTATATAACACTAAATCTTGCATTGAAAGAAAAAATGTAACACTATATGACTCTTCACTACCAAGTTCTCTCCATTTAAAATATTAGCATGACATTTATTTGAAACACAGGATGGATAGTTAGAACTTATACATTGGATAAAAGAGCTCTTTCATGAAGAGATCGTTGTTCAGTAATTTTACACCATTTACACCGTTTAAATTATTCATTCATATTTTCATCTTTTACAGAAATATTGAAGGGATAAAACGTTTTAGAGACAATATGGTAGTCGATTATCCTACAATATGAAAGGGCAAATGCCCCCCATATATGTATTTGTAAGGTATATAATTTAACAGTACTTCCAGAATGTAAATACCCTGACCACTGCGTTCACACAGTGAAAGAGTAGCAAATATCACTAGTCAGTTTGACATACTGTGAAAAGCCAAGAACACTGAAAGTGAGTTATGTTCTATATAAATAACATTCTTATAATGGAACATTTTGCCAGAATTTCTTTAGTTTCTTCAATATTTGAAAAAAATAAAAATAAATGACAAGCAGAAAAATTAAACATAATAGTGCTGTGTTATTATTCTGGGGACTTATTGTACACAGTTGTTAACTTACTCTATTCTATTATAGCCTCTTATTTAGCTCACCAGGATTGCATTGTGTATAGATATAGGTTCTGCTTCACTAAGGACACAGAGCAGACGACCATAATGTAATGCTCAGACAAATGAGTCATTACATAATTGAATAGGCTGCTTAATTTAAAATATGGTGAGACAACTATAACTCAAACGTAAAAAAAATCCTTTGGATGTCTCCCTGAGAACATGGATTGCTTGCAGTTCAGCTCTCACCTCATTCACCTTGTGATTTTGTAAAAAATCTTTTTTTACAATCTTTATTTTTAATGAGTTTAGACCAGTATTCAAACATTAAGATAAGCGTGTTTGTGAGGAACTGGATCCAGTTGGAGCACCATATTTTATAGTAAGGAGTATATGTTATATGTGTAATCATGGGCGTCCGCAGGAATTTTTCCAGGGGGGGGGCATAATTGTAATGACAGCTATGCTTGGCCCCTTTTTGACAGTGTCATGAAGGGGAGGAGCATAGTCATTATCACATAAAGCAAGGGTGAATAGCTTGTTCACAACTATGGTGTCAGGAATACATGTTTGGTTTTCCTCTTATCTCTCCCAACGCTCATTCAGTGTCTCCTTTTCCAAGGATACCTCCTCCCCTCATCCTGTCTCAGTTGGAGTTCCCCAAGGCTCTGTCCTTGGTCCCCTTCTATTTTCTCTTTATACTGCCTCTTTTGGCAAACTTATTGCCTCTTTTGGATTCCACTACCACCTGTACGCTGATGAAACTCAGATATACCTCTCCTCCCTGGACCTCTTCCCTGCCGTCCTGCAACGCATCACCGCTTGCCTTTCTTCCATCTCTAACTGGATGTCCTCACGCTTTCTGAAACTCAATCTCTCTAAAACTGAACTCCTTTTCTTTCCTCCTCCTAATACTGATCCCCCTCTCTCACTCTCCCTTCAAGTCAGCGATATCCACATAAGTCCATCTTTGCAAGCGCGCTGTCTTGGCATCATACTTGATTCTGGCCTCACCTTTGAGCCTCATATCCAGCTTGATATGTTAAAACCCACATCCACCCCTTTCTTACACAAGGTGCTACCAAGGAGCTTATCCATGCTCTAGTTTCCAGCATGGATTACTGTAACCTTCTCCTGATTGGTCTCCCCAAAAGCCGTATTGCCTCGCTACCGTCTGTAATGAATGCTGCCGCCAGACTGATTTTCCTCTCTAGTCGGTCCTCTCACACCTCACCCCTCTGCTAGTCCTTATATTGGATCCCTGTATCCTATAGGAGTCAATTCAAAGTGCTAACCCATACATTTAAAGCACTGAACAATTCTAGCCCCTGTTATATCTCTTCACAGATCCATAGGTATGCCCCTACTCATTCCCTCCGCTCTGCCCGTGACCACCTCGTGACCGCTGCTCGCACCCGTACGGCCAACTCACGCTTGCAGGACTTCTCGCGGGCAGCTCCTTTCCTATTGAATAGCCTGCCTACCCCATCAGACTCTCCCCTAGTCTTCAATCGTTTAAGAAGGGCCTTTAGGAAAGCTTATGGCCTCCCAGAGTAACCTCTACCTTACATACCTGTCTCTTGCTCTCTCCTATAGGCAGTGGTGTATCTTGGTTTTGTGCTGCCCTAGGCATATTCCGGCTCCCGGCATCACATTTTGCGCGCGAGGGAACTGAGCAGAGAGCTCATGGGAAAGTGCCCCCTCGCCAGCACTGGCCGCCTGCCAGCCCGACCGGATTTCTAGTTAGCCACAAGGCTAACAAGACATTTGCCCTGGGCATTTGAGGGCGGCTTTTTTTGCCGCCCCCTGGAAAATGCCGCCCGAGGCAAATGCCTTGTTTGCCTTGCGGCTAATACGTCCCTGCCTATAGGGCAGTGCTTTACTCTCTCCTCCAGCTCTTCTTCACTCCCACCCTAATTGATTGATATTTCCTGTCATAACATGTCTTATACCCCACTTCCTATAGACTGTAAGCTCGTTTGAGCCTATTGTTCCTGTAAGTTTTCTTGTAATTGTCCTATTTATAGTTACATCCCCCCTCTCATAATATTGTAAAGCGCTACAGAATCTGTTATATAAATAGCAATAATAATAATAATAATAATAATAATAATGTACAGAAAGTGTGTGAAAGTAGGCCATCCAGTGTATATATTTTTCAGTAAACTCATAGGCAAGTTTTACCATCATTTTCAATTTTAGATCAAGTGATAAAATGTAACCAATCGTGTTAAAAAGTGGAGGAGCTGTAAAAATTGTGTATTTATAAATTTATTAAATAATGATTTTATACAGCTCCTCCTTCTTTCCCTCTACTGCTCACTAATCACTTGAGCTGTGAATTAAATTAAGTGGCAGTCGCCTAGCCACGATTCATCTTTGTTTCCATCAATCATCTCTGTATTTTGGTGCCCTAGGTGGGATTTCAAATCATGGCTCAACACAAACACGCTCATCCATTGCTTGAGTTGTTTGTTTGGTTATTAGTCCATATGGTGGTTTGGAAAGGGGGAATATGTAAGATCACCTGATTGGCCAAAATTCTGACTAATTGCAGTTTGTAACTAAATTGATTTCCAAGTCTAATATTTATTTATATTATTAGCACTTTCATCACAAAAATATTTCTAGTTTAGTGAACTTTGGGAAAGCTTTCCACAATCTGCATGTCCTGACTTAAACATATTATGAAGGTAAGCCCCTAGTCCCTGGATAATTTATCATGGTTATAGCAATACCAAAGCTTTGTGGCATGGGACATTGTGGAGGACACAAGCTGCCAGCATGGCTGCTGCAGATTGGTAGAAAGGGAAAGTAGACCTAACAAAAACAAAAAGTTAAAGAGATGCAGGGCTTTACCAGCTGACATTAGGGGCTCTCTTTAGCAATGCCTATTTAGCAATTTTCAAAAACAAAACATTTTCAACTTTATTTTAGAAAAACACAAACAAAAACCTTTGATTAAGCTATCTCCTTGACACAAATATGGGATTTAAATATACAGTACTAAGAGCATTTACGTTTTCACTATTTCTAAAAACCTTCAGCCAGTGAGTCAAGTTTCCTGCTGGATGACAAACTGAACATCAAGCTGAATTCTCAGGTCACTGCCACAGTTGTAGAAAAAACAGGTACAGTGGAGAATTGAGAAAATTACATTTTTCTAGGCTGTATGCAATTCAGTTTTTTTTCCAAAGGAGGAAATGCTGTATTTCCTTCACATGTGGATGTTAACATAAAAAATATAGATTTTTAAGAGGCTTCACATAGTAATATTTAAATGAAGTCCAGGTGAAAATACAATATTTTACATTTGATACAGAGAGCAAATTAAAAAACACATTTAGTATATATTTTATTATTTACGTAAATAAAAATTGTACATTACTACAGATTGATTTTACAAAATGCATTTGTGATTAGACTTTTATAGTCAGGTAAATGAGTAATAACTGCATGAAAGTTGGTGGTTGCAAGTAGCATAAACCTTGGTAGAAAATTTCCTTTTTTGGACAATATATATTTTTTTATCTATAATGTATTTTTTTGATCCATGGTATGTGTTATATAACAGATGTTTTCAATTGATTTGATATTTCAACTTATTTATGTTCTACACAGTTATAAATATGCAAGTGAAAATTATTTAGTGTACATCATGTTTTTGGTTACATTAGTCCTTCCATCCCAATCTCATAATTGTAAAGAACTTGCTTTCCACTCAGGGCTGGTGCTGTCATAAAACAAATTACACATTTGATCGAAACAATTTAAAAGGGGTCACTCGGTAGATCCATATGCCAGTGAGGTGAGCACCTCTGATCAGTGCACAACTCAGTGAATGCCCACTGTCAATTCAATGCTTCTTTGAGAGTAACATAGTGAGTGCTGGGTTACCAGACAGTCACTCTGATACCAGAGGAAAACAAAGCACTAACAGTGCTTGGCACCTGTAAACCCTTGGGTTACTAGAAACCAGGCCCCATTCCCTCACCAGACCAACAAGTAAGGAATAAAGAAGGGGTGTGATCAATCATTAAATAAAAAAATAATTAAGTAATTAAAGCATAGAGGGCTCCCCCATATACAGCCATTGGTACATTCAAGTGTATTAAGCACAAACAAATAGAGTGATATTCAAAGTGAGAAAATAGAAAGAAAAAATATGGTAAAACATTGTTAGGGAGAAGTAGGGTATGCAATGGACATCCCACAGAGAAAGAACATTCTTAGCCCTGCCTCTATTCCAGGACCAGTCTTCAAACAGCAGAGAATAAAAATGACTACACTTGGGCTCCTTCCAATCCCTCTGGAAATGCTGGCTTCTCTGCTTACTATTTTACTGCATGAAGAGTTAAAATAGCTCAGTGCACACTGATTGCATGCTCGAAGCCAGAACAATTGAATTTATTAGGCACTATTCGTTCTATGTCTGAAATGTTGCAATATTTGTTGTTGTTTTTTTGTTTTTTGTTTGCAGTTTTTTATTTAACAAAAAGTTGAAGTACTAGCTATTCCAATGTTATGTTATTTTTTATGAAATTCAACTTCTTAGAAAATGTCCAATAATGTAAAGGTTAACAGCATTTCCAGTAGGGAATATTTGGGGCATGTGGAGATACTGTGTCAAATTCCTTAGGCAGGTGTGTGCATTGGCTGACCTCTATTCCAGGTACAATGAAAGCTCTCCAGGGTGTCATTTGTACCATGCCCCAATTCAGCATAGGAGTTGGTTTCTTCTACTCTTGAAGACACTTTCACCATGTCTGTTTGATTCCAGTGCATGGTGTAACAGGACTACAATTTCTGCCTGGACTCCTTTAACAATACATAACCTGGATATACAAAAGAACCGACTTGCCTGTTTTATGCAAATTACTATTGCCCAAAAACGAATCCAAACTACCGAACACCAGACCACCCTGATGTGAAGTTAAGTGGTATTTTATCTCCCAGACCGGCGCATCCGTTCGCATGGTTCAGCACGAATCCTTTGTGTAAAGTATAGGTGGCCGCCATTTCGGGACTTTGCACGTGTTCGCGGCCATCTTACGCACGAACAGGGGTGTTTTGCCATCAATAGTGTGGAACTAAAAACGGATACGCAAACAGGCGAACACCGCTAAGACCTCTGTGACAACGTAGATTCGTGCTGAAACTACCGAGCCGGCCGTTCGGTAGAAAGACTAAACCATGCATGGGGATTCCGGCGAACGCCAAGATAGCTGTGGATGGCAAGATTTTCGTGGGTTTTCAATGCAAGAACAGGGACCGACCGCAAGGCCAAAACTTGTGGAACTTCAAAGACCCATAACTCCCGAACGCTATAACCGAATGGGCTGGAGTTTTGATATGTTGTGCCCCTGAACAAGAGCTATCTGGGGATACTGGATTTAAGGGTGTACCCCCTGGTTTTGGGGTACATCCAGAACTTGGGTAAAATTATGTGTGTTATAATTATGTTACATGTTTATCTGAGGGGAGGAGACGTGGGGGTTGTACCATGTTTGTGACTGGGTATTGTGTTAATTATGAAGGTGTAGCCCTTTCCAGGGCAGCATTGCATAAAAGGAGACCCCTTTCAATAAACATCAGTTCTGCTTGACCCTTCAAAACGTAGCCTCGTCTCGTTCTTGGAAGGGGATTTATTGTACAGTTACTCTGCTCCATTTTACAGTTATGCCTGACTCTACCCTTGGATCTCGTGGATGGGAATAAGAACTCCATTACTACACAGCAGCTTGCCAGGAAAAGGACGTCTCCAACGGCAGATACCCCCTTACCAGCTGGGTAGCTGTTACACATGTGGATGAGGGCTTTTGCTGAAGTTATAAAGTATATGGTAATGAAGCATTATTAAAGAGGATAAAATTACATTTTACTACAGTTCCGCCCCAGCTGAGCTAGTGACTAAAGAGAAACACGGATACAATGGCTTTAGACTGCAAGCTCTGAGCAGGGTCCTCATCAACCTAGTGTTCCTGTAACATTTTGTAATTGTCTAATTTATTGTTACATTTCCTCCTTTGATAATATTGTAATGTGCTGTAGAGTTAGTTCTATATAACCATATATATGTATATACCAACAATAATAATAATAATTTTAATAATAATGGTATTTAAAAATTATGAATATAGTTTAACCAGTAAAAAACAGAACATTTATGTATTATGAAATTAAGACAAAAAAATTTAAAATAATTTACAGAAATAAAAGTAGAAGGGAATGTATACAATACATTCAGATTTTTAAATATGATTAAAAAATATAATTATTTTTTATTTTACTGTTTTTTTTTTTTTTTAAAGTAATTCAAAATGTGGAATATCTGACTACCTATTTATCTTTAATAACTTCTCTATTAACAACACTCCAAGATCTAGTTAATTTGTTTTCAGACATCTAGAATTAGAATTAGACATACTTTAGTCTTGTTTTGCCTCATCGAAAATAATTTTGATAATTACTTAATTTACATTAGCCTATTTGCTATAATTGCAGAACTAGGCACCTACACATATGATGAGTCACATAAATGAAGTACAATAAGTATAGTAATTTTATCATGATCATATTTTATAATTTGCTTAAAATAAGAGGGCAGTTTGTTCTATATTAACCATCTACAGGCACGGTTAAAGATATGCATTGGAGTATTTACAATAAAAGCACAAATTACACTTTTTTTTCCCTTAGTATAGTTTTTAGTATATTTTACGTTAAAATATCCATATCCCACTACAGCAATCACTTAATCACAAAACAAAAATTTTGACTTTAAACCACTCTACATAGAATGTAGTCAGACAAGGCGAATAACTGGGGCAATTGAAAAATAAGTGAATTAATAAGTGCATTTCAACAGCATCACATCATAATTAGAAACACAGTCTAAGAAAGTAGGAGCAATATATACATTTTATCCATATTTGTATATTTTATATTATTAGATGATGCTGTGTTCCATTGATTCTCCTCCAAACCTGGGCAGACATTACTAAGTAGGAGAAGCTCAATGGATCCAGGTAAATGTCAAAATCTTTGAAAATGGTTTAACTACTTACTACGGGACGGCGCCCATAATCACTTCTGTTGGCTGTAGAAGCTATGGTACCTAGTCTAACCCTTTACTATCGCCAACACTATATGCAAAACCATAATAGATTTCAGCAAATTAGAAACATGTATATATAACAAATGTGTAACTTTGTGCACAGTACCACTGTTTACTGTGATGGGAATTGTGAGAACTGTAGAAAAATAAAGATATTTGGCAAAAGTGCTCAAAAAACTTTTTTACACATCAGCTGCAGTTAAATTCTTAAACAGATATGAGATTTATTTTACATCTCCAGAGCTGATGTGCTGGTGCTATGTTTCTGGCATTAATAATTTTTTGAACATGTGCAGACTGCAGGGTATTACAATTGCAGTATTTTTCTCCCTTACCACTTTTATACATCGTATACGCATTTTATACAAACCAGCCTAGGGGAATATAAATTGCAAATCTCATATCAGTGTGACTCAGCCGAGTCAGCCAGTCGATAGTTCTTCAGCTGTTAGTATGCAGCATAACCTTACCCAGATGGTGAACAATTAATAAATCAATGCTGATCTAATTGATTTGTTTCATAACTCACACATCAAAATAAATGGTGAAGAAATAAACTACTAAAATAATTATTCCATAATGATTTACTAGAAACAACATAATTTAAGTTACCATAATGTGGCTCCGCTTAGGCCTTAAATTTAAAAATCACATTGAATTCACATTGAATTATGACTTTAGTGAATAATCTTTTCAATCTTCTTTGCATACTGCAGTCCACTTACCTGTTGTTTTAGTGACAAATGGTGCTTATCTGTTAAACCAGAAATTGCTTAAAATTGAAAAGAATATTGCAAATTTCAGGCCAAAATGCGGAACTGGAGAAATAGTTGTTTTAGCTAAATATCTGCAGTTTTGTTGTCAGTTATCAAGTTTCACTTTTCTTCCCTATTCTTTACTAATAAATCTATTAATGTGCAGAAACAGATGCTGAAAAAGGACTGACTGTGAATTCTAATTAAAGCATTCTAGCCTGATGTAACTCTGTTAAATTAGATTCATTTAGATAATGAGCTTAAACAGCATGTCAATGTAATATAACTATTGAATGATATATATACGATAATAATGTATGAGAGCATAAAAAATTTATCATGTTATAATGGGACGTTGTTTTATATTGAAAGGCATAAAGTTAACAAAAGGAAGATTAAGTTATTGCAGTAGAAGAACTATGGTTAAGATATACAGAAACATAAAGCATTATAGGGACACTCTAAGCACCGAAGCATCTTTAGCTAAATAAAGTAGTTTTGGTGTACAGATCATACCCTTACAGTCTTACTGCTTAATACTCTGCCATTTAGGAATTAAATTACAGTGTTCATACAGTCCTAGCCACACCTCCCCTGGATGAGACTGACACAGCCTCCGTAAAAAAAAGGTTTAATTTTCAATCACGAATTATGGAACACTGTGTATATACCTTTGCTGTGCTCTTTTAATTAATAGCAGCCTATTAACAGAGCAGGGGATAGTAAATTCTAAATTACACACATTGTGCAATAACAGAAGCTAATAAATGTAGACTCTATTTCAAGAACTGTGTAGGAATACTGTCTCAAACAGGAGAGATGAGGCTAGAACTGCATAAACAAATGGATTTAACTCCTAAATGGCAGATAATTGCGCAGTGAGGCTGCAGGAACATGATCTACACACATGAACGGCTTAATTACGCTAAAGTTGTTTTGATTATTAGAGTGTCGCTTAAATGTATGTATAGTATAATGGAAAAATGTGCATCTTTTGCTTTTATGTTCATAAATGTAATTTCTAGAATAAAATATATAAGGAATATCGTAAAAATCAGAATTAGAAAAAAACATTAAAATTATTTGTTTCAAGTGATATGAATATTCTACTCTATTAAGCTAATGCAATTCTGTCTGTTCAATTTCTAGCATTCCTTTTTGAACTACCTTTTATTATTATGCTTTAGAAGGAGATGGAAATACAAAAATACCTCAGAGAATCTATCTGCCTTGTAAGGATGTAAAAATATTACTTTTTTTAGGACTTTGAATTAAACAAATATAGCATATGTGTGATGCTTTATGAACAGTTTTGTAAACGTGTATATATATATACCCTCAGAAAATTACATTTTAGTTTCATTAGTTAGTGGTACCCTCATCAATGATCATTTTTTTTTTTTATTATTAACTTTTTTGATAATTGAAAATTGGCACTATATATTGTTAACAACAATACAAAGAAAAAAAACCAAAAAACACACATGTACATTCAAAAATGCATACTTTGAAATGAAAAAATAGACATCCTAAGCAACTGCTATATGGTTAATTTCTCTAAGCCAAAAGCTTTCTATTTTTACCTCTTCAATAATCACTTCAGGTGACTGTTTTCTTAAAACTGTTGACCCTACTTTAATACTGACTTTGAAGACGTTTAATTCCTTTCAATAAATTGAATATTATTGTTCCCTTATATTTACAGCATCTCTACCATACTAACTTTGCTTGCATACAAACTTCTAAAAATTATGTAGAATTTAGGGCAAGCAGTCCAGGATCAGAAGAAGCTAAGCAGGCCCAAATTGTTATACTTCTACCAGCATATTGAAAATGGAAGATTAAGAGTGTTTTTCTGTTCAGTTTTTTTTTTTTTTTAACCAGCAATATATAAATACATGCTATTTATTTATGTGGTTTTTTGGGGGGGGAGGAGGTTTCTCGCTAATCTGTGCAAATGACATTGGCTGAAACATTTTGGAAAATGTATATAAACTTTAGCAAGCTTCAGTAGATAGCAATGTTGCTACTTCTCAACTGTTTTCTCATGAAAAGAGTAGTACTCTTGTTCAATCTTTCCTGATAATTGGTTCTGAACATGGGTCTTGAATTAATTTTTTAGATAAACGTTTTGAAATATTTTCTCAGAATATTAAAATATCCAAAATATATCATTTATAAAAATATATATATCAATATACAAATATTAAAAAAAAAATTAAATATTGAATACTTTTAAAATTGTAATAAAACAAATACATAATTTCAAAACCCTATGCAAAAATATTAAAACTGACACCATAGTGGGAGTCCCTTTTAGATCTCTACCCTCTAAAAGTTACCCTTTTTTTGTATCTTAATTTATTATGAATTGGGATGCCACTGAAGAGATTGTGGTAGAACATTTATTGCATAGAATGAAAGTTGTTATAACTCTCCATGATTTGCAAACTGCATGTAGCTTAAGGTCCAAATCTGTACAGATGGTTTTGTAGCCCAATATACCATAACTTATGTATATTGGAATTACATGCTTTCATGTGTGTCCATGTGATAGTTACAATTATTGGTTCACTGTTCTGATAGAGTTAATTTATGGCAAAAAACAATATTCAGAATTACTAATGCACAAGACAACTCTGCACACAAGCTAAATTTGTCCCTGTCACATAATTTATATAGACCTGAACTTAAGTTACTGATTTTAGTTAGTTGATCGATGATACTATTTAAAATGCTTTAAGACACTCTTCTCAAATTTACGCAAAAGAAAAATATAAATTTGAAATACTAAATATTGCAGTGATCATTGTGGCGAAAGTAATCTCACCACATGTTCTTGGAGAGGCCTGTTTGCCAGCCTCCTGCCTCGGGACTATGGGCCATTCACAAAGGCTCATAAAAGACCTTGTTCGTGCCTTCTTGGCTATTCTGTTCAGTAGTTTGCATTCCCCTCCTATTTTAACATTGTCCCGTTCAACTACCGAACAACTGCACGAACCAGGGACCACCCGGGAGCTTGTTAACACCTATTAACAACTTGGAACGTTTCTCACCACAGTGTTCTAATTGTTCGTACGCGCTGGAGTAGAAGAGGTTCACCCACTGGAAGGAGTGGATGGAGGACGGCGAGTTCCCTGCCAAGCTGTAATGTTGGACATGGGGACTACGGTGCTGATGGTGTCTGGTGGAGTGCTTGGAGTCCTCAGTGAGCACTAGGAGCATCGATTGTCTGAGGCACCTGGTCAGGGTGCCAAGCGGTCCACCACATTTGGTGGCAGTTGTGGGATGGCTTCCTAGTGAGTATAGAAGCATCCTGGAGACACCGGAATTGTTATGGTTATGGATTTACAATGGAGGGATAGAGCTAGCCACCGTGCAGCGTCCCTGTCTACAGAGGAATCCTAAGTTCGAGGATCGGACAGCTAGTGGCCCAGAGTGGGTGCCAAGCAAACATGACATATTGCTATGAGGGGACCACCTACATTGATGAGGTAAAGAAGCGGTTGGCCAGGTATGGCCCAAATCCTTCGGAAGAGACTATCGAGGCCACCATGCAAGAGTTGGACAATGAGAACCAAGCGGCACAGCACCTCAAGCTCAGGATATACAAGGCACGGTGGCAGTCCAAGAACAAAGGACCTACACAGTGTGTGAAGATGGCCAGTCACACTCCCCAACAGCAGTGTGCCTCCCAGGGAGAGAAGTGTCCTTCCTCCCCAGAGCCAGAGCGAGTTACCGGGAATAGGGACAGTCGGTCCTACTCCCCAGCGGCAGCCGGAGATACCGGAAAAGGAGACAGCTGGCCCCTCTTTCCAATTGCAGCAGGACCTTATAAACTGGTCCTGTGAGAAACCCCAACTGGAAGGTGGAAATGGGACTGAAGTCTCGCCACCATCCCTACCGGGATACTGGGCAGCTAGCCCAGATCTCCAGCCACAGCCAGAGGTACCAGAAGTAGGGACAGTCTGCAGTTTACCTTACAGGGCGAAGAGACAGCCGATCTCTCTCCCCGGCGGCAGCTGAATATACTGGGAGAAGAGACAACTGGTCCCTCTCCCCAACTACAGGGGGACAGCACCCCTGACCGCAGAGGTGCAGATGGGACCGCGGTCTCTGTACCAAACCTACAGGGAGGCTGGACGGCTGGTCCAGATTCCCAACCAACCCCGCAGGAATACCAGGAGGAGGAGGTAGGCGATTCCTCCACTTTATAGCCAATTTCCAACCGGGTCCTGGTTGAAACTGCAATACCCACTGACTCCCTTGCAGCAGAAGAGCTGGCATCAGGGCAGAGTCCTTGTTACAGGGCAGGATTACGTACCAGTCCCCCCAGCAGAAGTGCTGGCACCAGGACAGAGTGCAGTTGGCCTCTGCCCTCCCTTTGTCCTTGATCCAGGACCTGGCGACCCTCTCAACTACCCAGCTGTAAAACTGGCTGTGGGGAGGAACACGGCTGGTGTATGCCCACTGGGTAACCCCAACTTCAAGCCGGAGAGCAACCTAGAGACCAGGAGTACCAGATGCCCACTTAACAGCTGGGGACACACAGGACAGAGCCGGGCTACAGAAGTCACCAGGTCCAGTGCTTATTTATGGGTGGGCTACTCGACTAACACAGGTACCAACTGACAGGAGGTCAGGTACCTGGTTAGTCTTACTTTGGGGGGCAGATATGTGGTGAAAGTAACCTCGCCATGAGTTCTTGGAGGGGCCTGTTTGCCAGCCTCCTGCCTCAGGACTATGGACCATGCACAAAGGCTCATAAAAGACCTTGTTCGTGCCTTCTTTATTTTGTTCAGTAGTTTGCATTCCCCTCCTTTTTTAACATTGTCCCATTAGACTACCAAACAACCGCACATACCAGGGACCACCCGGAAGTTTGTTAACACCTATTAACAATTTGGAACATTTCTCACAGCAGTGTTCTAATTGTTCATCTGGGTGGCCGCAATTCCTGTGGACAACCACGAGGTGGCGGCCATCTTGTTCGCATGAACTCAGGCAGCGGTGTTTGGGCATGAATCTCATGGAACTAAAATCGGACACAGAAACTCCCAAACACCGCTGGACTTCCACCATCGCTTACATTCGGTTCTTTACAAGTTAGAAGGGCACTGTTCAGTGGGATCGTTCGTCTGGATGAGGGGAACAAGCTCCAGGGTAAAAACATTGACTATGTTTGGTAGTTTATTGTTTTTAACCCTTTAAGGACACATGATATGTGTGTCATGTCATGATTCCCTTTTATTCCAGAAGTTTGGTCCTTAAGGGGTTAAACTACCGAACTAGACCGACCGCAAGCCCTAATTCTCTGGAACTATTTGGGGCAAGGGACCATGCGGTTGGTCAAATAAATGACTTTCAGGAAATTCCTGAACCCCTGAACTGATCTGGGTGATTTTGTTGGTCACCCAGATCAGGACTATTAGGGGATGCAACATTTGTTGGGTTTTATTTGTTTTTGGGGTACTTTTGGGGTGTTTGGAAAAAAGTGTGTTTTTCTGTACTTGGAGATAATTGGATTAGATTGGTACAGTTCCTGATCCAATTATCTCCCAGGCAGAAGGGAGGGATTGTATGATTGTATATGGGAGTGTCATGCATTTGAACACCGTTGTGATTGGTCTGTAACTTTATACTATAGTTCCCCACAAGGTCCATGTGGGAGTACCCCTTGCATGGGGACTTGCATAAAAGGACAGTGTGGCTACCAATAAATCAGATCCTGCTTACCCTTAACATAGAGTCTCATTTCATGTGTGGGGGAAATGGCTGTATCTACCCTGGGGATTACTCTATCACTACACTCCCCTGAGATTATAATCACTAGCTCTTATAGGAGCTGTTCCTGCTATACTCTCTGGAGTAGGAGAGGTTCACCCACTGGAAACTGGATCTTGGTCTTGGGTCCAGGGTGGGTGTAGGACGGCAAATTCATATTGTATAACTGAAACCCCAAAAAATGTTTAATTATATTTATATTTATATTTTTGATATATGTTGACTGTGTAGAAATCTTTATAAATGGATTTAAATTTGTATTTCAGAATTTGTGTATGAAACCCGCAACTCTACATACCTTTCATTCCACAACACAATGATGGGAGATGAACCTGCAGAACACAACCAATATTCAGAATTCAATAGACAAGTATTCATATTTTTATGAGTTTACTAGTAAACTATTTACTTTTATGTAATATTGTGATAGCTTCAGTATTGCACCAATTACATTTAAATGCTTACGCAGATATTTTTTATCTTTTAGGCTATATATCTCATCTTCTGTTAAGCACACCACCTCTACACAAAGGGAAAGCAAAAAAAGGAAGGTGCGCAGTGAGGGAGGAGTGTAAAGGGGACACTATAGTCACCAGAACAACTACAGCTTATTGCATTTGTTCTGGTGAATCATTCCCTTCATTTGCTGTAATCACTGTTTTTTATAGAGAAAATGCAGTGTTTACATTACAGCCTAGTAATAACTCCACTGGTCACTCCTCAGATGGCTGCTAGAGGTGCTGCCTGGGGCAGTGCTGCACAGTGAGCAGCACTGATATTCAGTGTCTTCACCCTCTGTATGCCGACACTGAACTTTCCTCACAGAGATGCATTGATTTAATTGATCTCTATGAAGAGATGCTGATTGACCAGGGTTCTGTTTGACTTATGCTGGCTCTGTACCTGATCTGCCTCCTTGACAGTCTCAGCCAAGCCCATGGTGAAGCATTGTGATTGGCTTAGACCACCACTTCTGATGATGTCAGCAGATAGCATGCAGTTTCAGAGGCAGACAGGGGCAGAGCTAGCAGCTGCAGACTTAGTAAGAGTGTACTATATTTAGGAAGGCAAGAGGGGAACAGGCCGGGTAGATGGTGGTTTTAACACTATACGCATATATTTTATAAAAGGCAAAGCAAAAAAAAAGCATTATTGTTTGTTTTTTCACCTACATATAAAAAAAAAATTGATTTTTTTTGTGAACTTATAAAATGCCATTATGACCAAATATATGTAAGTGAGGCCACATTAAAAAGTGTATTCAATATTTTGAATCTAGACACCAAAAGGTTGATCTCCCTGTACAATATCTCCCTAATATCCCTATCTAGGAGGGACAGCCCCTATTTTGTGCCCAAATCCATTGTCCAACATTTCTATCATAATGTCCCTCTTTCATAGGAGTTTCACATTGTTGGTGTATCTGAGTGTAGTACAGAGCTAAACAGCAATAATACTCACAGTAATGTGTCTTTAAATTACAAAAATGTGTTTAGGAATCAGACTAGGTAAATAAGATACATTGTTATTGTTAAAATTCTATTTTAGTTTTATAAATTGATGTTGGTACTGACCTAAAATTTCTCAAAAAAGCCCTCATTCACACACCTAGAATTAAAGTATCCCTCCTTGTCAATTTGAAATGTTGGGAGGTATGCTGGACCAAGTCACCTTATAGAGCCTGGAAACAACATTCAAAAATTGCAAATGATCTTGAGAAGAGGTGATTGAGCCAATACAACAAAAGAAAACCTTTAAATAAACTAAGATTTTGATATGTTATCTGCTATCTGCATATTTACATTATCTGTTTTTCTACTCAACTTTCTAATACCTTGTCTTCATTTATAGTACTGTTACCATGTGTTTGTCTATGTTATTATTCCACTGACTCGCATTAAAGAAAGCGGTTACCTAAAACATTTTGCCTCATCTCAGTAAGAGTAACATTGCTCTACAGTTTTCAAGCCTGTTAGAACACACAAATTAGCTGTTACACGTGTGCACTAACACTAACACACTAATAACAGCTTAGAAAACACATTTTAGTTCTTCAATTCTGGATGAAAACAACCTTCATATAAGTACAAACCCACACTCTCCGATGGCAAGTGCCAGATGCAATACTTAACAAAACACCAATACAAAAACAGTACATATATTCCATTTATTAAATACCTCCATGTGGGAAGGGCCTGACAGCCGACCACGATGGTCGCATGATATTGGAGCTCCTTAAGAAACCTTTTATTAAGCCTAATCCAGGACATTGGCTCTCTGTTTTTTGGCACAATCTTGTATACTGCTAAGACGGAGTAGCCTGTCAAGTGTGAGGTTCGCTTTGACCCAACTCCAGTGAGCACAACCTTTGCAGCCTGCGGACATACCAGAGGTGGTGGAGGCAACCGATCCTCTGCCTTGGCCTGGAAAGTACCCTCTGTAGCGCACTGTCACCCCTCATCTGGACCGGTTAGGATTATCCTGGTCCCTATTGACACACTCTCAAAGTCTATTTGCAACAGCTTCGTAACCCAGGTGACCCAAAAAGACCATTGCACAGCAGCCTGCCTTTGTACAGCCCCTTCCACAGCCACCAAATTCCAAAGCCCCACTTCCTCAGGCCTTCGACAGGCTGTGTGCCCAGTTCTGGGTGAAGCTAAGTGCTCGCTCACTCACCACTCCTGCCATAAGCTCAGGTGAAGTCTCCTGGTCCTGGCCGGCAGATAGGCGCAACGTGGGGAGACCTCGACCATGCGGCCAGAGATGGAGGCCCAGGCAGGTTCCACGGATGGCGCACAAAAGCCGCACACCAGTGTTGCAGCAGAGAATGTGGACTCCACAGCTGACACCTTTCAAGACCACACTGTACTCTGCACCTCGCTCTTTATGAGCACTGTAGAAGGGTTACGGTACAGCAGAGCCGAATGCATACCTCAAAGTGGATCCGGAGTAGTGTTCCTAGGATTGGGCACTGCTGGCCTCATGGATCACCTGCACATATTTGTGGACTTATGAATTCCTGTGCCTATTGCCTCCTATCCGTGGGTATTGGCTGATTAGTCCTATGTTGATACCACATATTCTTTACAGCTGTTATTTTATGTTTCATTATCTTACATATGACAGGCTGTGATTATACAGACCTGTGGCTTATGTTTTTTATTATCCCTCAGCAGTTAATGCCTTATGACACCATCTCTAATGTGTTTTTGGTGCCTCTTACAGGCTGTCGGCCAGTGTGGTAATCTGACATGGCTTCTTTATTTAAGCATTACAGGCTGTTGATATTCACTCTGTTATATAGCCCTACTTGCTTTCTGCATTGGCTAACTGCACTCAACCAGTGGAATAACCTTGTAAAATTATCTACAGTTCTATGTTATATGTTTATCTCTGCACTTACCCCATATTATTGTGTTCCTGATGTTTTTCTCTCACTTATTATAAAATAGTGCAGTAACCTTGACATTTCATGTCCCATCTGCAAATAGTTTATTGTTATATATTGTTATATATACTCTAGTGTAATCTCTCTGCAGATGGGTTTGTGATTCTTTGCACTGCAAAAATAAAGAATGTAAAAAAAAAAGTACCTCCACAACAAAGGCACTACTTACCATTACTTCAGAATTACACAGGTGCCAAAACATATCTGCATTAAACAATCCACATCTTCATGTGTATGGTCACACACAGCAAGACCCTCATGACAAACAACTGTCATGAGAAACTGCTGCACCCAGATGACTCACTCAAGAGTTAGTCTACCTAGAAACCATTTTGGTGCTGCCTTAACAGCTCAATACCATCCATTTTGCCCCACTTGTGTCACTGCTTTTAACTGTAACCATGGACTGTTCACATCCAACTGACAGAAACATATGGTACTTGTAATAAAACTATACCATCTCTATTATCATAGAGATAAATTATATATCTAATTGCTATTTGGGATATACAGTACAACTATTACTCTCCTCTCCACCACCACACCCATAAATGTTAAGTTAATGTTACACCCATCCCTCGTCCTGTCTACATCCTGTCCCCCCCTCCCCCCGTGTGACCTTGTATGGGAGCCAGAAGCAGCTGTACACTGGATGAGGCCTTAGCTAAATTAGGGCCCATAATCCTTTTACCCACCTAGTTCCATTATCCACTCATCATTAACTCTGCTCCATAGTTCCAATGAATTACATTTTCCCAGCCCCATAATCATTTCATTATCTCTGCTTAATAGCCCTAATTACATTACCTCCATCTCCGATCCCATTCCCATTTCATCACCCCACCACAGATATCCCCTAAATCCTTCATAATTTTTCCACATATATTCTTCAAGCAACCATAATATCACTCACATTCCCAGTCAAATTACCCCATCCCTATCATTCTATATTCTCCAGTCCCAGTCACATTACACTATACCTATAATTCCAACAACCCCATCCTCAATCACATAACCCTATCACTATAATCCCATTGACATTTTATTATTCACATAATTCCATCACTTCCAACCTCAGTCTCATTAACTAACATTAATCCCTCTCCATTAACCTATCAAACCCAGCACCGTTATAGTCCCTTACAATCCCCATCCTTATAATCCCATCTTCACCATTCTTCCATACCTCATCCTTACAATTCAAATAACCCCTCACCACAATATCCACTTGCATAATTACATCAAACCTGTAATTTCTTCATCATCCCCAGCACCATTATCTACTTCTCGACCACAATCATATTACCTCTGCTGCTCATATTGCTTTCATGCCCTCATCTCAATCACATCTTTCTGCTGGTCAAGTGGTGCATTTGCCGCAATTGTTCTCCATGTGCTCTGTGTGAGAGTGTGCTCCATTTGCAAGATCTTAATGAAGGAATATTGACCCCTTAAGGACAAATGACATGTCATGATTCCCTTTTATTCCAGAAATTTGGTCCTTAGGGGTTAAACAATTAATCTGTCAGTATTTCAGAACTGCTTGCAAAACATAACTGAAAGGAAGTCATAAGCTATGACAGTTTCTATGTATCAGGAAATGCCTAACCACAATGTGTATGTGATATTTTGTAAGATTAGATTATTGAATGTAACAGCAGAAACTGCTTCCTCTTTTATGTATCTTGTGTAACCTTTTGTAACCAATATTCGTGACAAATATTGTATAAATACAGAGCATTTTGAATACATTGTCAGAAGATTATGGAGAGCAAAAAGTGTGTGTCTGGTTAATACGCTTCCATAAAAATCTTCCCTGAATATTCAGCTGACAATCGAGGGTTGGAGAATAGTGACCAGAGGGACCGAGTCACCAGATTAGCAGATTTACCTTTCAGCTTGGTGTCAGAAGTGGGATTGTAGCCAAACCATTTTGGGTGAGTAGTAATTCCTTGTGTCTATCTTGACGCCCTGAATCTATGATCCCCATGGTTTTGTAAGTCTACATCATTTTAGGAAAGGTTATTTAGTATATGTGTTTTCTGTGACTCAGTTTTACATAAGGTCCCGTTAAATTAGTCTAGTAAGGGAACTAGACAGAGAGATATATGTATTTCTAGTAAGTGAACTAGAGAAGGTCTAATAAGAGAATTAGACAGATAAAGTCTATAAAGTGATATAGACAGAGAATTTAGTATATAAGTGAATATACTACGATAGTGTGCACAGAGTTTCAGGTTCACCTTGTCCACCCTCTAATTGTCATTAGTTAAGTCTGGTTGTGAGTGTGAATAAGTGTTTGAAAGATTTGTCCTAGGAATGGGAAATTACCATGTAAGAATATGAAGTAGTTAACTTTTCTTGTTCATATGTATTTTATGCTTAAATAAGGTTTATAATCATTAGTGCTGACTGTAAGGATATGAAATAGTTAAACTCTTTTTGCTTTATATGCTAACCCTGAAAATATACTCACTGAGAATCTTGTTAAAGCACATTTGTAGTGTCCATGTCTTTATTGCAAACAATGATTCTCCATCAACTGGGTGATTGTCTATATTGGGGACACACTTTGGTAAGTTAGTAGTGTGTCCACCCTGAGTCAGCAGTATGGGAAATGTAAGTTCAGGTCCTGAGTTACCAATATATCTACATATATATATGATAGCATTACTGTATATTAGACAAGAGCTGACTCGCAGGTTGTACCTAATAGACCTACTTAAATCTTTTGTTTTATTCTTTCTGTTGCATAGAAGTATAAGTTTATTACTCTGTTTTATTGCAAGTTATTTCACATGGGATCTGTGTGCCTGATATGATTGTTGCTTTAATACCATAAGCCCACTACACTTTCTATGAGAGTGGGATAGTGTAAATGTGTTACATTGTTTGCATGATGAGCTCAGTATTTTTATAACTGAGACAAAAAGTCACATCATTAGTATTTGAAAGTTAATTCCCCATATGGGATTAATTGTATAGAAACACCAATCAGCACATCTTCCATGCCCTGTGTGTTTGTTGCAAAGGATCCATACTGTAAATATGATTTTTGTTTGTTAATAAGAGAGCAACATTTACATTTTCAGCGGTCCAACACATGCTTCATTTTGCGCTGTAAACTAACCTTTTATTGCAACAGATTCCTTTTAAATGATCCAGTGTAATAACTACTGCATATGTTTTGTGTCTTCTATGTCTCACATTATATGTGTTCTGTTCTTTTAAATTGTGGTATATAGCCTGGATCAGAGATTATGGACAAAGGTTTCTACCTGTTTTACTAAGGCTCTTGGAGACTGACCGGTCTAAGGTTTGCCATGCCTTTTAAACATGGTATAGAATAATTTTTTTTAAGTCTCTGAGAGTTCTGTAAGATTCTGGTGAAACCATGTCTGTGTAATCTGGTCCAAATGTTTGCTCAATTTCTATAAGATTTAAGTTGATGCAGTATCATCTCAGATTAGTTAATGGAAGTTTCATACAAATATTTGAGTTATGAGCGCGCTATATAAATGGATCCTTTCTCTATATACAATACTATAGTAGATTAAAGTAATGAAGTTAATAAGAATTAAAAAAAAAAAAAAGTATACATAAGAATCCCTAAAATAAATCTAATACAAACTAAAATTGGTATACCTTACAATAATATGTTCTGAGTACAGCTGTTAACTGTTTATTCTGTGTAAATGGTGACTGTGATAATGTGTGAAGTGTGCAGCTTAACTGGAAAGTGGTTTAATTTATATGTTGCTGTGTTGTTTTAAATTATATTTGAATCAGTTTGTCTCAGTCTAGTGATACTGATAAAAATGCCAGTCAAATAACCCAGCAAATAACGGTTTTATTAGCTGTTGAATACTAGCATTCTGGCCAAGAGTAGTTTGAGTTGGAGTAGTTCTATGAGCTCAGAGAGGCTCTGTGTTGTGGTCTGATATAGCTATATGGGAATGGAGATTTGGAGGTGTTAGTTTAAGACTGCTTTCATATTGTGTCTACCCGTGTTTCCTAGGAGGGACACAGAGTGTGTAGTTGTGTGCTCATGAATGTGTTTTCTGTATTGGCATATCTGCTGGGTACCCGATACGTGTATCTACTACGTCTGTTTTGTGAGATGTCTGTTTTGTGAGATGACATGTAATATTACATTGAATGCTGAGTATGAGTTATATGGTTTGAAATGAATGTGTGTGTAATGTGTTTCATGTATTTTATTGTCCATTGTGTAGGAGTTTAACTAGCAGAGTGATTTGCATATCATTAACGCAAGCATTTAGTGTTTTTACAAAAGGTGAAATGCTGTCCAGCCGGCTAGAATGAAACAATTGTATGCTATCGCTCCTGGAGCACGAAAAGCGCTTGTTACATCCCACGTGAAAGGGGCCCCGCAAACTTCTGCTGTTCAAATCGTGGCTCCACATTTCCATTTGCAAACTGATTAATCCTGAAAGTCATTCTTTTACTGATAAAAAGGATTGAATGGACAAGATGTCTCTCCCTCATAAAGGAGTTCTAATAGGGGAGTATTGTCCAGCTCAGAGTTAACTCTACTTTTAAAGTATATTGCATTGTTTGTGTCAAAGTAAGATTCATCTAGTATGCCTCATTGATTATGGGGTAATAATAACATGGTATTTTTATTGGAGATTAGACAATTTCGGAAATTTATAAGTGAGGTAATTTTAATCTCCTAAACTACTGTATTATATTTGTATGGGTAAATTGAAAGCATTTTGCAGATCCAGAGGAGCATTAATAAAAAAATATAATAATCTCACTAGGTGCCAAATTATGCAAAGAGGCTATCCAAAGTACGCACTAACGGGTTAAACTTGTTTTCTTGATAAGCGTATAACATTTAGTTTTGTGGTTAGACTTTTGATACTCAATTTGAAATATGTCCCAACTACATCCTTGCACGGCACCAGGTACAGGAAGCAATATGCGTTTTAAAAATTTGCAAGGTCTTAGTGTTTTCAATATATTATAATAATGGAAAAGTACCTAACCGCATGTCTGCATTACGCTCATGACACAGACTGTCAGTATTGCAAGCCCTATATGAAGGCTATGCTTTCATTGTTGATGTATATACCCCTAGACAACCTTGCTTTATATACAAAATTTAACTATCCATACAGCCTTTAAAAGCTTATTAATATTATATCTGTGTGGTACACAAAGAGGGGCTGTGAGTTAGGTAATCCCATCCTGCATATGGAATAAAGGCAGAGGTAGAGGATTTGGTCAAAGGGTCTAACTTTTGTAGAGGTAACAACTTCAGCATTGGTGGAACACACTGTTCTAATTGTGGATAGCAGGGTCACTGGAAAAATGAGTGCCCAAACCCACCCCCACAGATTCCTCAATACCAACCATAGCTTCCACCCTATACCCACACCCAACAACCCCAGCCTAATACACAGATGGTTCATGTTTGTAATATTTTATATAGGTTTAGGTGTTAATCCAAGAGTATTGAATTATTCGGGATTATTAAAGTAATTAATTTTGAATATCAAATCAAGGTTCCAGTTTAGGAACAGAGTTTTATTGGGAATTAGCCCCATATGTATATGTTAGTGTTTTAATATTCATCCTAACAAGGATTTCTATAGAGTGAGTGCTACTCTCATCCGTACAAAGGCATTCCAAAGGGGTATTATGTAAAACTTCATAGAAGACAGATTGCATAAAATATAAGAGAAGTACATGTTACACAAATTAAGGGTTTAACCTTAATATCTAATTTAAGTTTTAGCCTAGGTAATTAATTAATGTTGTATTGATCCTTGTGTTTGTATGATTGTAGAGACCGTCCTGGAGTGTTTGTGCCGCCTGATTTCTGGGACTACACACCAATCTCTCTGGCTGACCATGCAATAAGTATTTTGCAATTACATCTGTTTGGTCATTATCCATGCAGGCCGAAGAAACTGAGATACTTATTTATGAGGACATAAACTTTGCACGTAAGAACCTGGAAAGTCCTGAAGGTGCAGTGCTGTCTAATACCGCTGGTTCTGTAATAACCCTTTCAACCATTGGGGTGTTGCACAGAGCATTGTGGTGAAAATCCAGCAAACAAAAGAAGAACTAAGAACTATATGGAAGCTGACATTGTCTTGTTGTCAGCCATATTGCTACCCTTAGCCATTTTTATGGAACAAAATGTCTGGTGTCTAAACTGATTTCTTTATACTCTGTGAAAGACTTATTCTATTTTTCTGAACTATGCTGAACTATTGAACTATTTTTATTTTTGTAGAGTTAGCCAGAGAGAGAGGAAGTGTTAGCTGACCCAGAGTTAGCTGTACTATGTGTGTTTTTGATATATGTTGAGTGTGCCAGGGATGGATTCCCATGTTTTGAGGCACTGCGTGAGGATATGACTGGTTTTGACTGGACTTTTGGAATAGGGAAATGGTTAAAAGATATAGGACGCAAGGTCCTGGTTGTGCAATAATATAGTTGCTATAAGCCCAAGTTCCATTCTGTCTTAAACATCCATTTTCTATATATCTGTCTGCAAAAGTATTAAGTGGTTTTTGTTTTGTTTTTTTTCTGCTGAGTTTCTGTTTCTTGTAGACCACATGATTGCTTGGGAATGCCATAATCTGGACATTTCTCTGTCTTGGGAGAATGTTAACCGATGATATGAGCAATATATATTGCTCAAAGAGGGGTAACAATTGTAATTATTGGGGCTCAGTTGGATGGAACACCGGGACAGATTGGGGTTATAAGCCACAGAATGCATTAGATAAAAAGGATACGAATGGGAAGTCCCTCTTGACTAGAATGACCCTAACAAAGCTAGGTACATGTACCCCTATAGGGCAAACTGGGCACTCCGTGAAATTTACCTTAAATATTTTACCTCTAGACAAACTCTTGTTAATCCTCTAAAGCCCCACATTCAAACCCTTGGTGATATGATGGCCATAGCAGATCCCACGTTTGGAGATACCATAGCGTTAGAAACAGGGTATGCAGATACAAACCTATGGCTGGAATGGTTGAGATATAATGCCCATTCCAGCAATAGGTCAAACTGTTATGTATGTGGTAGTGCCAGACCTCATCTAGGAACTGTACCCTTACATGTCCCTGATGAGTACTGGGAATGTTTCCTAAGTTTGTTTTCAGGTACTACTGTTAATACTACAGGATGTGAAGAATGGAAAAAGGGTCACCCTATTGGTGAACCCAAGTTTAAATTAAATGATGTTGTCTCAGTATACCCTGGTAATTATACTTGTTGATAACTTTTCTTCAGGATTCTGCTCCGCCTACAGTAATATTACCTTAGTGAATCAAATACAATCTATATAAAAATACGTTCTAGACTCCCCACCCCCTGGAGAGGAGAATGTGCCCCAGCCAAAATAATCATGCCCCTCCATATATTTGGCGACTCTCTCCCTGAAATTAAGGTTGTAACTTATTCCACAAGAAGGAAAAGGGAATCCCCACAAGGTAGTTTCGACCCACATATCTATCTAGATGCCATTGGTATTCCAAGAGGGGTTCCTAATGAATTTAAAGCTAGAGACGAGGTGGCAGCAGGATTTGAATCAATATTTCCCATTATAACAGCTAACAAGAATGTTAACTGGATTAATTATATATATTATAATCAGCAAAGATTTGTAAATTATACACAAGATGCATTACAAGGTCTTGCTGAACAATTACAGGCTACCTCACAAATGACTTTCCAGAGTAGAATGGCCCTTGATATGATTTTAGCAGAAAAGGGAGGAGTCTGTAAATTACTTGACTCCGGTGTTTGTTGTACCTATATTGCAGAGAACACTGGCCCTAATGGTAAAGTAACCCTAGCTATAAAGAAATTAGAAGACCTGTCCATAGAAATGAAGAGGAATTCAGGTATTGATCACCCATGGGCAGATATGTTTAAGTTTGACAGTATCCTAGACTAGCTAAAGAATATTGCAATAATTATTGTTATGGTTCTGATCCTTGCTCTACTTGTTTATGCTATTTTCAAGATTATTGTATTCTGCATTTGCAAACATACACGCAACACTGTTCCTGTAAAATCCCCAGCTTGCTATGATGAGTATCTCCAAATGTATACACATAACCGAAGCAATGGTGAACATGCTGATACAGGTCTATAAGTTTGTGGTACTGGTCAGATGCCTAGTCCTATGCTATGGGAATAGTGGCCGAAGACATAATGAAAGACCTGCAGGATTGGCTAGCAATCCTGAATATACCATGGCAGATGGCTGGTTGTCTGACCAGGACTCCTTTAATAGGGTATGAGCAAGATATTGCTCAAAGAGGGGGAAATGAAGGAATATTGACCCCTTAAGGACAAATGACATGTCATGATTCCCTTTTATTCCAGAAATTTGGTCCTTAGGGGTTAAACAATTAATCTGTCAGTATTTCAGAACTGCTTGCAAAACATAACTGAAAGGAAGTCACAAGCTATGACAGTTTCTATGTATCAGGAAATGCCTAACCACAATGTGTATGTGATATTTTGTAAGATTAGATTATTGAATGTAACAGCAGAAACTGCTTCCTCTTTTATGTATCTTGTGTAACCTTTTGTAACCAATATTCGTGACAAATATTGTATAAATACAGAGCATTTTGAATACATTGTCAGAAGATTATGGAGAGCAAAAAGTGTGTGTCTGGTTAATACGCTTCCATAAAAATCTTCCCTGAATATTCAGCTGACAATCGAGGGTTGCAGAATAGTGACCAGAGGGACCGAGTCACCAGATTAGCAGATTTACCTTTCACTTAATTAATAACATATGTGGTCATGTGGTCAAATGCTGGGACTACCTCTCTTAGAAAAACTTCCCCAAGCATGATGCACCCCCAATTACATCTAAATGCTGAATTAATTGCTGTGGAACTGCATATCTAATATGCCCTGTAATTTCGGTGAAGATGGTTCTCCTACCCTCCCCTATCTATATGTATCCTACATAGATTTTTTTTTTATAAAAATGCTTTTATTGTTTTGAACTCCTGTTAGCACAGTGCAATGATGAAATGTTGTGTGTATTGTACATACCAGGAAAGGTGCCACTAATTATTGCAGCCTTTAATATCCTGTTTTGTTAGAAAAAAAATCCATTCCCAATACATCTATTGAATCTTGAATGTAATAAAACTGATCCAGTATGCAGGGAGCCCACCTGCTTGTAATAATAAGCTCACCAGGTTTCAGAATATCAATTATTCTACATAAATTCATAATCACACAGAAATTCTACCAGTGGAAGACATTTCAGCATAAATTAAGTTACATGGGTTCAAAAAACAGATTTGATTTATAAAGAAAAAAATCCATTTATTTTTCACAACTTTACAACTGTTGAACGTGTTCGTTAATTTTCTATCACCTAGAGACACCATAAACGTACACACATTCCTACCCCATGTACTGAAGTTAAGATGCATTAGTAAAATATGCCAGGGTGCCCATGATTGCTTATTAACCACAAGAGTGTCCGCTTATAATTTATGTCCTCTCACCATGTGATCTGTGCAATGCACAAAAGCAAATATCTGCAGGCCTAGAGATACGGCTCATTGAGTCAGCCTTAATCTAATAGGTATTTGAATTAAATGATAAATGAATAGAGCCCTGTAATGAGTTGATCCATTCCTACCAAAAACAATGGTCCATCATTGATGACAAAAGACCATAACTATGTCCCACTGCAGACTGCCTTTTTTGCCATAAACCTCAGATGCTATAATAAATGTAGCATACATTTTAGACAAAGTTGGTTATTTTTCAACCTATATCAGACTGTCGTAGATTTGAGATGGGTGAGTTAACTGCAATAGGACTGACTTACCTTAATGGATACCAGACGGGAAATTTTCTCCATTCGGTACAATGCAAGCCATTCACTAACTAATTGACTTTTGTCAATAGTAAAGAGCAGGATCGAGTGTATAAAAAAACTGAACAAAATTGAGACAATTGTAATGAAATGTTTATATCAGTTTAAGACATCATTGTCTTACTTATAATACTCAATATATGAGAAACAAAACTATCAGACATGAAAATTCCAATTAGTTAAAGGAACTCTTAGAACCAAACACTCATATTCACTCCCTCCACTAATCAAATTTGTTGCAATTCAGTGTATAAGACATGAAAATAATGGCACTAGTGCCTGAACTTTTTAGCAATACTATTCAACATCTGTGTATTTTTCAATACCACGCTGTTAAGCTCCTCCAGGGAAAACTTTTCAAAAGAGACCCATTTTATGCCTTTGACCCGCCATTTCATTTTTAACTTCCATTTGAACTTTTAATGTAACACAAAATATAATGATTATTATAAATTTTTTATAAACTATGTCCCAGTTCTCTAAAGACGAATACTAAGAATTCCACTTGCACAAGCCATAGACAATTCCAAATAAAATAAAGTTTTACACATGAAGAAATCTTACCACAGTGACCCTTTTCACAGTTCACAATTCCTGGTGTTTTTTTTTTCTGTTTTGTTTTTTTTCTAGCATTGACAAAAGTATTACAATGCATAAATGTTCTGGTTTACTTTCCTTGGTGTTTCTGTTGTCTACATATAAAGAGCGTTTAATCTATAATATTAAAGCATTATAGTTATTTCATCTATAATACAAATATGCAATGCAGGCCTAAAAATGCCTTATCAGGCAAAAACAAAAAAATCAACTGCCGTTCTAGGCATTGTGTGCAACTATACTTTTTGTGTCATTCCTATTTATTTAGTTCATGAAATTTAAATAGCACATTGCTCTGTATTTAGCAAGTCTATCTTGCCTCAGGGAATAGCATTTAAGCAGAAATTAATAATTGAAATAAGATATTTTTACAGTTATTTTACAAAATGGCACACTAAGCAGTATGCCCAGCGTCTACAGAATAGCAAACAATGTAACTTAAAGGTAAAAATACATTTGAAAGAAATTTGGCACTGAGGAATCTGACTTTGGCGACACATGCAAGTAATCCCACCTGCATAAATATTGCATCAGGCAACTCCCACCTTCAGCTAATTATAGATTAAATAATAACATGGAAAAATATAATTATATTTCTTAGTGCATGCATGTTCTTAAGAAAATACATGTAAACAAGTTGAAATAATACCATTTTATATACAGTAGCATAGCCACATTATGAATACAATTTGCACACATAAACATATACACACACACATCCACACACATACATACGATGCATATATCATAAGCCTATATATATTTAAATAGGTCAACATAGCTATATTCTCACTAAATAACCCACATATTTGCACACATCTCAGAGCTTGGCAAATGCAGCACTCCATTTTGTCAGACCTATTTACTTAATCCTCTTGCAATAAGAGATTAAATGAGGGTCATGGGGAATCTAACAAAAGAGCTAGGCGGAGATGGGGTTGAGGGGTTTGCTGTCTTGACCCGAATTTCTGCAAATTACAAAATACTGTAAATGTCAATGGTTTTGTCTGTCATCTGTATATACTACCAGCATTTTATGTTATGGTTCCTCTAATGCATCCCACAGAATATATTTTGCATTTGTTCTTTGGCATTCCCATGCAATTTTCATCTCAAATAATCCTTCCAAAGTATGAAGCTAGAGAGAATATTTTATTCCAGACACCTTTGTGGATTACAAGTGACGTCTTAAGAGGAATCTCTTGAAGTCTTAGCGCTTGTCTAATTAATTATTTGCACTTCAAACTGTAACAGTACAAATGTCTTCTTTTCTAATCCACCTTAATGTTGTGGATCTTCATTAGTCCTTGTTAATCAACAGAACATAGATCTTCAGATATTATTGAAGAAAAAGAAGATATCACAAGGAACACACCATTTTACCAGACAGAGGAGCAAAGGGCAGGCTGAGTTAAAAATGTGTTTGTTTTTTTGTTTGTGTCATGGTTGTGTATTCAAAATTTGGTCAGCTGACATGTTTCACCCTGTAGTGGATTGACTTAAATAGTTAATCTCATTACTAGTAAAACCAAAACGCTAACTTGCTCTTAATAGGTGATAATTTGTAGATGTAGTTTTCCCAACTTTTGTTTTCTTCCTTTCAATTGGCTGTATGGTAATTAACCATTACCATTTAAGTAAGCCTTTCCCCTACTGCTGTGTTTTGTGAACACATGTTCCTGGCTTGTATCTTCATCATTTTTGTGTATTGCCATGACATCCAGTTGTAGGACAGCAGCCCACAGCAGCAGAGCTATATACACCTACTATATCAGCCACAACAATAGCAAGAACCAATTGAGTTGGAGTATCACATATTTTATTAAACATTAGTAGGCTGTATACAGGTGTCCTGACAGGTGTCACCACTACCATTAACTTCTTTAACCTCTAGCTGTTTCTTCTTCATTTGAAAGGCTACAGAGACTTCAGGATGTATAGAGTCCATCCTTTGCTCACATTTGAAAGCTGTTAGAAATGCAGTTCTGTAATTGTTATTCATCCATCCATATAGTATAGGGTTGGCAAAGGTGGAGCACATTGCAATAACATGAAATATTGTGTAAATAAATTTATATTCGTTTAGGTCCAAAACTTTGCTATCAATGTCACTTGCTAGCTGAAAGGCATGAAAAGGGAGCCAACTGACAGCAAACACTACTACAACAGCCACCAACATCTTGGTTGTTTTGCGTCGCCGTTGATGATAATGGTCATTTCCTCCACCTGGGCTAACATGGTTCTTTAATTTTGTCCATATCCGGATGTATGCATAACAAATTATGGCTAGTGGTAAAATATACTGAATCAGCAACATTGATATGCTGTATATGGTGCTATAGTTAAGGTGTCCTATTGGCCATCTCTCGGAACATACTTGAATTTTAAAATCAGATGAGATAACAATAAGGGAGTATTCTTTAAAGATTGCCAGTGGGCTAGCTAGCAACGCACTGCAGGCCCAGGTGATGCCTATAATCATAAAGCAAATTTTTGTTGAGATTTTACTCTCAAGATGGTATACAATGCACCGATGTCTATCCAAAGCAATAACCATAAGCGTAACTGTGGAAACATGAACTGCTAGCCCTTGGGCATATGTAACCAAATGGCACAGTACTGTTCCAAACTTCCATTCATCCAGAAGAGTGTACACCAGTGTGAACGGTAGGCATAGTGTATTTACCATTAAGTCAGAAACAGCCAAGTTGACTATGAAATAGTTTGTCACGGTCCTCATAGTTTTAAACTTGATGACTACATAGATGACAAGCGTATTGCCCATTACTCCCAGAAGAATAATGGAACTGTAAGCCAAGATGAGAATCACTTGCACACCTAACAGCTTTGTAAGGTCATTCAATTCAGGCTTAGATATATCGTTATATGGTGTGGTATGTTCAGGGAAATACATCCAGGTGTTAATTTCATTTTTAAGATCCTCTGTTTGGTTTTCCTCATTCCCCAGAGAAAATATTCCCATCTTCATGGTACCTTTTTCTGCTCTTCATCAAAAGAGCATCCTTCAGGAAAGAAAGAAAAAGGGGAAGATTACATTAAATGGAGAAACAAGAGGTTAAATGTTAAATCATGGTCAAGCTATTGACAACTAGGTAATTAAAATGTTCAGGATGTTTTAAACCAACCTCATGATTGGAACCAAGGGCATTTGTAATCTTATCTACATACATTCTGCAGTAGTCTAGGTAAATCCATCACACTTGAATAAATAAAAATGTATTCCCAAAGGAACACTCATACTTGATTTCTAATCTAAAAATATATATGCAACACCAGCTTTTGGATTCATTTTACATTTTAGCTATTGACTGCATGAATTAAACAGCACAAAGGACATCTGTGTCCCATCTAAGCAGGGACATAATTCCAATCACTATCCACATAAATAAAGGTGAGGATAAAATATTGTATTCTTGTTTTATTATATTACAACACATGTTAGGTTATGGTATATTAGACTGCAACCCTATTTTATTTACACATATGCTATTCCATAATTAGGCCTTATGAAAATAGGAAATGAAGTAATATGAAATACGTCCAAATATCAAATAATTGAATTCATAGGTCAAACGCTTGATATAAATTTCTTGAAATATGAACATTAATAAAATGAAATCCTAACATGCATGATGAATAGTGATGTCCCGAACGGTTCGCCGCGGACGGCGAACATATGACCCTGTACCTCACAGTCAGCAGACACATTCCAGCCAATCAGCAGCAGACCCTCCCTCCCAGACCCTCCCACGTCCTGGACAGCATCCATTTTGAAGCTGCATTCTTAGTGAGCTGTCCAGGAGGTGAGAGGGTCTGGGAGGGAGGGTCTGCTGCTGATTGGCTGGAATGTGTCTGCTGACTGTGAGGTACAGGGTCATATGTTCGCCGTCCGTGGCGAACCGTTCGGGACATCAATAATGATGAATAATGTACATTCATTCCAATTATCTGTATTACATATAGGAAAACATACATCAAGTACTACATTTCACAATATTCAGATGGGAAACCAGCAATAATTCTATACTAATATCAAATACACTGAGTCAGCATCACTATGATGGGTATTTTCCATATGACTAAGGTGTGTGTGTGTATATATTTATATATATATATATATATATATAAAACTTATTTATAACATAATGTATATATAGATTCTAGAACCAAGAGAACAAGGTAATATAGCAGAACATTGAACTGTCAGATATGTAACTATATGTAACTGTCAGATATGTAACTATTGCTCTCAAATACAGGATTCAAAGATCATCACCCACTGGTATATAAAATGAAATTGTACCCATATCATATGGGTATGTTAATCTCTTGGTTTTAGAGTCTGTGAAGCTTTTATAACATAATGTTTTGTAGAAGATTTCACAGAAGAGAAGGGTATAAAATAAATGTATGGGGGCTGACTCATGGAGCAAGACGTGTAAGTGAGGAGCTCCAAAACTCTAAACCTTTTTGCCCTAAATAATAAGCACAGAACCAGAGAAATGGTTTGGAATGAGAGGCTCCAGACCCTGGGCCCACATCAGGCAACATGATTCTTGATCTCTGCAGACAAGTAAAACATCTTGATAATAGAAACAATGTGAGAATACAGGGCCTACCTGAGTCAAAAGGTGAATCTGTGGCAGACATGCTTGTAGCCCTATTAAAAAAGAAAACTGCTGAGTCTGAATGCACCAGATAATATGCCACTAGACTGGGCTGCTGTCTGAGCAGGAAATATGCCGATTTACTGTGATTACCGGTATGCTTTCTTTTTATGATTTCTGGTATGTTTATATGCTACAATATTGATGTTATGTGCTAGTTGGAAATTGCCCAAGTTGTGAGGTGTGGCACAGTTTGCCATGAGGTCGATAAAGGCCCTGCAGGTTTTGCCAGTTAATCTCTGGATTTCTATACCTTTTTTGTGAAAGTGTTGGCTCTGGCCTGTTGGGGGTGAACTCAGGTGTTTACTGTAAGAGCATTGGAAGATTGCACTTGTATTGTGCCACTCCAGTGTCGAAAGGTGGTCCATAATACTGGGGGTGGGTTGGGGTGCGCTCCTGTGACAGACGGTCATTGGTCATATATGACCTTGGTGCCTGATGGAATCTTATGAAACTGCCGCGGTTGCACCTCCATGCGGCGCCCAAACCACACAGTTAGTATCTATGGATGTGGTTATCAAGTGACCTGAGTCTGTTGTAACAGAATAATTTCCTACCCCTGCTAAAGATGCTTAAATCTGACCTGATGCATTGGAGGGGATACTGTATATATCCTTAACACTATAAGGGAGGACAGAGTGTGGGTATTTGTAGTAGAGATAGTGACAGGGGGAGATAGGACGGGGGTAGGAGGTGGTAGGGAGGGATGAGAAGAAAGAGAGCGGATAAGGGGTGGGAAAAATATATGAAGTTGTATCTCATGCCTGTTCCCTGCTAATTCGATGCTTTCTTATTGTGATATCTGTGATCATCATCTTCTCACACAAAATAAAGATACACTTTTTAGATTACACCTCTGCAAGGGAGTATTTGTAGAGATGTTTGAAAAAGATGTGTCACATAGAAAGAGAAGCAGAAAAAATAGTAAATGCATAAAAATGTAATCACTTTTATTTTGCCAAATAGTATTTAAAAGATCTCTTTTGTTTTGCTAAATAGTATTTAAAAGATCTCTTTTGTTTTGCTAAATAGTATTTAGGATAAATAAGACAACAGTGTTATCCACTATATCAATACAGTGATTATCCACTAAGCACTAAATTATAGTGAATTGAAAATCATATAGTAAATTATAGGCTAGAATATCCAATCTTTGATTACAGCATAGTTAGAGAATGCTTTCAACCAGACATTTCAGCCCATCATTTTTCAATTTGATTATAAACTTTCTAGAGTTCAATGATCAGTGAATAAATCCATATAACAATTATTAGACTTGAGCACGGCAGAAATTCTTTTTTGATCAAACAATTTTTTCTGAAAATGAAATTGAGTTCAGGACCTCAGTCACTCATTTGGTTGATAGTCCAGCTTGTCTGAATATCGGCCATGAAAAATATTCAGGAAAAACATTTGGACACATCAAAAAGGGTGCAAAAATACATATCTATATATTTTCTTATTCTGATTGGCACATTTTCACACCATTTAGTTCAGCTATCAAGTGAGAAAAGGATTTAGAGGGGTAAAAATCTATATTTATATATTACACTGATCAGCCACAACATTAAAACCACCTACCTAATGTCATGTATCATGTAACTTTCATACTGCCAAACCAGTTCTGATATGTCGAGGCATAAACCACACAAGACACATGTCATGTTTCCTGTGGTCCTGTGGTATCTGGCACCAAGACATTAGCAGCAGATCCTTTAAGTCATGCAAGATGTGAGGTGGAGCCTCCATGCCTTCTTTCAATAGTGCATACATCTCTTCAAGCAACATTTCAACGCTATAGAAGGTCTTCGTCACTCTTGGCGAGGACTTTCCATAATGTCAAATTGTTGCTCTGTTACTTTTTCACTCCAATAAATCCGCTTGCTATTTGCATCTTGTGCGTGAGCGAAGATTGCTCTTTTTTTCATTACATTTTTAAGCAATCTGAGCTACAATAGCTCTTCTGTGTGAACAGACCAGACAGGGATGGCCTTCGCTCCCCACGTGCATCAATAAGCCTTGGGTGCCCATAACCCTGACTCCAGTTGTCCTTCCTTGGTATTGACATTGGGTAGGTACTAACAACGTCATACCACTAATACCCCACAAGACTTGCCATTTTGGAGATGCTCTGAACCAATTGTCTAGCCAACACTATTTGGCCCTTGTCAAAGATACTCAGATTTATTCGCTTGCCCATTTTTCCTGCTTCCAACAAATGAAATTCAAGAACTGACTGTTCACTTGCTACCTAATATATCCCACCCCATGACAGGTGCCATGGTAACAATATAATCAATCTTTAATAATTTAACCCCTTCAGGACGGAGTCAATAGTGCACGTTCTGATCAAAACAAAACGTAAACAAATACTGGAATTTGCGCTATATGTCTCTTCAACCGTAATTCACTGCTGTCACATTAAGTGCACCCACACTTATTATATATCATTTTGTTCAGGAGAAACAGGGCTTTAATTTATTATTAACTATTAATATAGGGAACATCATTTAATATGAATAAAATTTGTATTTCCGTCTGACATTTTAGCTGTGAATGTCATAATACTGTTAGGTTTTACTGCCAAAAAATGCACATATTTGTAATCAGCGATGTCTCATGAGTACAACAGTACCCCCATTAACAGGTTTTATGGTGTTTTGGAAAGTTACAGGGTCAAATATAGAACGTTCCATTTTCAAATTGAAATTTGCCAGATTAGTAATTAGTAATGTCCCGAACGGTTCGACGAAACAGTTCGCCGAACGGTTCGCCACGGACGGTGAACATATGACCCTGTACCTCACAGTCAGCAGACACATTCCAGCCAATCAGCAGCAGACCCTCCCTCCCAGACCCTCTCACCTCCTGCTGATTGGCTGGAATGTGTCTGCTGACTGTGAGGTACAGGGTCATATGTTCGCCGCCTGTGGCGAACCGTTTCGTCGAACCGTTCGGGACATCACTATTAGTAATGTTACCTTTGAGACGGTGTGGTAACCCAGGAATGAGAATTACCCCCATAATGGCATACCATTTGAAAAAGTAGACAACCCAAGGTATTGAAAGTGGGGTATGTTTAGTCTTTTTTAGTAGCCACTTAGTTACAAACACTGGCCAAAGTTAGCGTTCACATTTGTTTTTGTGTGAAAAAAGCAAAAAACTAATATTTGGACAGTGTTTGTGACTAAGTGGCTACTAAGAAAGACTGGACATACCCCACTTGCAATACCTTGGGTTGTCTACTTTTGCAAATGGTATGCCGGTATGCCATCATGGGGGTAATTCTCATTCCTGGGCTACCAATCTGGCAAATTTCAATGTCAAAAAAATTAAATGCAAGCCTTATATGTGAACCTCTAACTTTCCAAAACACCATAAAACCTGTACATGGGGGGGTACAGTTATTCTCGTGAGACTTCACTAAACACAAATATTAGTGTTTTAAAAGAGTAAACCATATCAAAACAATAATATAGTCCATAAAAGTGCAGTTCATTTGTAAAAAAAATGCAAAAAAACTTAACTTTTACTTAAAATATCATCGATGTAATACAATTTACCAGTTTGAAACACTAATATTTGAGTTCAACGAAGTCTCCTGAGTAAAACAGTACCCCCTATGTACAGGTTTTATGGTGTCTTGGAGAGTTACAGGGTCAAATATAGTGCTTGCGAATTAAATTCTCTGCACTTTCTCCCTGTGTTGTCAGGCATGTCAATCAAATTTTAATGAATCAAATCACATAATTATGTTAAAAGATTACTTAAATATACATGTAGAAGTTTAATATATATGCATTTATAGGTAGTGATATCCCGAACGGTTCGTCGAACAGTTCGCGAACGGTTCGCCACGGACTCATCATTGAGTAAACTTTGACCCTGTACCTCACAGTCAGCAGACACATTCCAGCCAATCAGCAGCAGACCCTCCCACCTCCTGGACAGCATCCATTTTGAAGCTGCATTCTTAGTGAGCTATCCAGGAGGTGGGAGGGTCTGGGAGGGAGGGTCTGCTGCTGATTGCCTGGAATGTGTCTGCTGACTGTGAGGTACAGGGTCAAAGTTTACTCAATGATGAGTCTGTGGCGAACCGTTCGCGAACCGTTCGGGACATCACTATTTATAGGTATTTAAATGCTACGTGTATACTAATGTAATCTTTTATGTAATTATATGTATTTATCTATATATATATATATATATATATATATATATATATATATATATATATATATAAATATATATTTGCGGTTATTTGTATTTTATATATAGATAGATATATATAGAATGTCATTCTAAGTGTATTTTTTTACCAGTATATATATATATATATATATATATTAATAACAAAATACAGTTAGAATGAAATTACATATGAATATATAATTTAAATTAAATTTTGTTTCAATATTTTATTTATTTATTTTATTATTTTATTATTTATTATTGTAATTATACGTATATATATAATATATGTGTAAATATCTATTATATATATATAATATATGTATATATTATATATATGTAACGTCATTCTAAGTGTATTTTAATACTAATATATGTACTTATATTAATATTAAAATACACTTTGTATGACGTTACATATATATAATATGTATATATATTATATGTAATATATATACATATATTACATATATAAATACATTTCTATTTTAATTTTACATATGTTTAATAATTTCTTTTTTTACTTTCCCACCAGCAGGGGGACTGACTGACATTTCAGACAGTCCCCCTGCTGGCAGATCCACAGCCAGCTATAGGGGGCCATGTCATCGCTCTTTGGGGGCTTCTTTTGCCGTGGGAGGGCTGCCTGGGCTGTCAGGCAGTCCTCCCGAAGTGGAGCGCTGGTAAGGTGAGTATACCGGGCGCTCCAGGGGCTTCAGCCATTACGGCGTTCTATGCCGCCGCAACGACTTTAAAGCCCTTTTAATGCGGGACGGCATAGAACGCCGTAACGGCGTTAAGGGGTTAATCTGTCAGTGGTTGTAATGTTGTAAAAGAAAAAATCTCAGGCACTCACTGTGATAAATCAAGCAGAGTTATTGGACATCTGCTTGATTTATCACAGTGAGTGCCTGGGATTTTTTATTTTATACTAGTTCTTATGGAATATGCTGACCCATGCTCAGTTTAGCCCCCTGTGTTTTTTATGATTAAGTGCAGTCCCCCGTTTTTCTCCTTGATTTTACTGATGCAGCTGCTTAATATATATACCATTATTAAATCTGTAAACAAGATTTTTTCACTGTCCTTTGATTTTTCCCTCTGTTGTTCACTTTTCACATGATATGTGAATAAAATCAACATTTAGCTGCTGTCCCCAAGCTAATCGATCATCTTTTTTTCTGAACATTAAATACCATATCAAACAAATTTGTTCATCCATTATGCTAGTTGTTTGTTTGGTCATAACTCCATATGGCACTTTGGAGTTAAGTAATTCAGCCAAACAGCTGATTGTCTTAAATTCTGACAAATTGAGGGACGGAGCCTGTCAATCGAGCGGACCAGACGTGCATTGTCTGTGCTCCTCTACCGGGACCCGGAAAACTAAGTACTTTCTGGAGCCACTAGCTGCTACTCACCGCTACTGGCGACCATCTTGAAAAGGGGGAACCAGTGTATCAGGGATTACCAAACTTGGGCCCCTTCAGGGAAAGAAATGCCCGCATCGAGGCTTGCGGCCTACCTTAGCAGGGACTGTGGAGAGACGGCCGCTCTCCAAGCTCTTGAGCGGGCAGAGTGCAGCACATACCGAGCTACCCCCCACCCCCTGGACCGGTGGGGGTCATCCCGGTCGCCCCCCTTGACTTACGAGCTGCTGAAATTGCACAGCAATGTGTTGCAGGCTCTCTTAAGATGGTGGACACTCAAAAGCTACACGTGTCTATCTCGACACTGCCCATGACAACCATCCAAGATGCATTTAAGCGACTGCTTACTAATGTGGACAAGCTCTTTGAAAGCTTCCTTGCCAAGCTGTCTTCAAGCACCAAGGTGTTGCCAGCTCAAAACCGGAAGAGAAAAGAGGGTCGAGACCGAGAGGAGGTGAGCGGGCCCTCTCCGGGCATAACCCTTCCACAAGCAACAAACCCCTCTGTAGTTGCCCCGCCTGGGCTGAAGGCCCCAGGGGATACAATCCACCTGCATCTACCACATAGGCTGGGTACTCATTGCCGCTGGCGGCGCTCTATCCCCGGGATCTCCTGCCGTACCCCACCAGGGAAAGACTAGGCCTCATGCCAGAGCCCCTGAGTTTGTGGCCCCATGATGCCGGTCTTCACAACGGCCCAGGGCTTCAGGGAGGATGGGCACAGCCCTTGCCTTGTTGACCGTGGGATAGGTTGACGCCTGACTTCCAGGCACATTGGCATATTTTTCAGCCACGATCTGCTGATACCTGTTCACAGAGAGATATGTTTATGTGCTTTTTACTGATGCTTTCACTACTTAATCTGCAATGCAGCTAACATCAGGGATTTAGTCTTGGCGGCAACTCTTACAATACCATTTTTGCTATAGCACACCGCCCTATGTTGATAACTCTTGTTCTTTAATGGTATGCACAGCTATGTAATATCTTTTTTAAGCTTGCTTGACATAATCTTATACAATAGCATGTCACTATTTTTTTAAGCACGATATCATCTCTTACTACGACCACTCATATAGTCAGTTTGTTTAACTTGTACTGAAAACATTTTTGATCTCTCACCACTGACATACCTATAATGCTTATTATATTATTCTGTACCTAACCTGAATCTACTAACTAACTAACTAAAAAATTGTGCCATTAACTAATGCCATGACACTGCTTACTCAGTATTTTCTCATTAGCTTGAACCTGCTATTTTGGCAACTCAAGCTTGTTTGTAACTCTAAGCACTGCAAAAATAAAGATTGACAAAAAAAAAAAATTCAGACAAATTACAATTCGAAACACAAATCTAATAATTATATTTTATAAATTCAGGCATTCATCAGACTTGTAACTACAAATCGTTCAATGATAGAACATTTAATACAATAATTGTAGAATTTACACATAAATTGACCGCAATATCTTCTGCTTTCATCATACATGAAGTAAAGTTGAGTTATACTGATAAACTAGTTTGGCATTTTGTTCAATCTAAAATTTACAGCATATGTCTGATAATATGAATCATATTTATTGTATGGAACTATTAATTTTATTAAAGACATGGAGGCTCCTATTATGCTTCTCTTTCTTTAATTCTCCCTCAGCAGCGAAGAGAGATATATGCAAAAGAGAGAAAAAAGAACAAATAACATTAGCATATAGACAGTGCTATCATAGGTATCCACCCCCTTAGTATATAAGGTGTAGCACTCCATGCTTCTTCCTCTTTCTTCGCTGCTCCCTCAGAAGATAAGTACACTCTCCTCTTATTTCTATAGTGTGCTCTGTGGGATTGTATTATTTTATATTATTATATATATATTGTATTGCTTTATCTCTGTTATTTTCTCTGCTGTTGGGGTATTCTTTACTGTTTATTCCCCTTTTTTCTTTTTCCCACTTCTTTTGCTCTATTATCTGTTTTTCTTGATGTGTCCTTTTACATTTTCCTAGTGTGACCGTGGTACCCTCAGTTTACCCTTCGGGATTGGCTGTTTCCCTCCCTCCCGCCCCCCCTCCGGTTGGGGCTCCCTTCCCGGTCACACTCTGCCGGGTTTCGCCGGCGGGGCTCGTCTGACACCCCCGCAGTGCTTCCCGGCACTATTTGCGGCACCGCCGGCCGGACCTACTTTCGTCCGCGCGGCGATTCCTCTTCACTCTCGTTTCGCTGATCGCGAGCAACGCGCATGCGCGGTAGCTCGCGGCAGCCATTTTTTGGTTTCTGGTTGCCGGTTAAGGCGGCGGCCATTTTATAAACCGTGTATCGTGGATTTTGTCCCTCTCACACTCTGGATTTCGATCCTGTCAGCTCTCCAGACGGGTACAGTCTATTTCTATCCTTTATACCTTGGAGTTACCCTCCATCTCCCTGTACCTTCCCATCCTGTACCTGGGTTAATCAATCCTAGTACTCTGCCTTTCACTTTGTTGTCTTCTATTTGTTATTTTCTCACTTGCACTCAATTATCTACCATGCAATCTGGTGATAAATTCCCTGGCAAGCTTAGCCCCTCTATGGCCATTACTGATCCTGACCCCCAAGTTGACCCTGGGCTCATGGGCTCGGAAGAATTCCAATGCCTTCTAGACACCACCATGTCCAAATCTATTTCCAAGGCCATATCATCAGCCATGGGCGCTATGTCCTCTACCATCTCGGACTCCATTACACAAGCACTCAAGCAGGTCCAACCTCACACTACCCCTGCCTTTACCCATACCCCTCCTGAAGGGACGCTACCAGGACGCAAAGCGCTAACCAAACGCAGACATTCACAAGACCCCCCCCATGCAGGTTGACCCTGCTCTGATTGACATGCCTCAGGCTGTCCATGATGGCGCGCAACAACCGCGCAATAGAGCTTCTGGGCGAGCTACGGCTACCAGAGACTGGAAACGGGCAAGAACCCAAGATATACTGTCTGACTCAGACGAGGAGGGGGATGAGGGGTCAGACATCCCGTACTCTGACCCGTACGAGGACGAGCTCTCAGAGGGTGAAAGCCTCCAGGGAAAACAGTTCCCCTTGACGCCAACACGTACCTCTGCACATTCAGGGGCGCCCGGGGCGGAAGCAGCCTGCGACCCTAAAGATGTTCCGCTATTTGACCCTGACAACTTAAGGCACCCATGCTCTGCTGAGTGGGAACCCTCCGAACACATCGCCCGATACCTGGCCCTCAGGGTACGTAAGTCCCTCTCTCAAGAGGGCCGTAATAAGTTGAGAGCAGAATGCCCCCGACCCATAATTCCTGATGCTGTGGCAAAAACCCCAGAAGTGGACCCTCAGCCCAGTTTCTAGCCAAAACCGGCTGGAAATCTAAGAGGGGACTGGACTACTCCTTCCGAAACTGTCAGGACAAGTTCCTAGACACCCTGGGTCCTGTCACTAAGCTGTATGAACTGCTGGAAGCAGCTCAGTCGGGTGAGGCACCATTAGACTTTGAGGTGGCGTTTGGCTGGCTCCAACGCTTGGTCTGCATGATCGGCAATGCCAATACTGCCATGTCAACGGAACGCAGGAAGGCTATCCTGCTGAAAATTGAGCCCAAGCTGGCTAGCATGGCCTCCTCTGAACCAGGGGCTGCGGCTAAGGGTCTGTTGTTCGGCGAATCCTTCGTCAAAGATCTGGGCTCCTATGTCAAAACCTTCACGGCTCTGGACAAAGCCCAATCATCCATTAAAAGGGTCTTCCACCAAAAGGTTTTCGGTGGGGCCAGTAGAGGTAGGAGCCGTCTATCCGGCCGCAACCCCCGAGGTTTCTCCAGACCGGGCAGAGGCTCCTTCAACACACAGAGGCAAAACCAGGAACGTTCCTACACTCCATTCTTCCCCTCTTGAGGAAGATTTTGGAATACCCGTGGCGGCAGAGGAACAACCCCAGGAAAACGCCCTTATGGTGAGTACAATATTTCCTCATTTTTCCCATATAAATGTGGGGGGCAGATTGGCTTTGTTTTCTCAGACTTGGGTCACTATCACGTCCGACAGCTGGGTGCTACAGACTGTAGAGGGTTACCACCTAGAACTGACGGGTCTTCCTTTTCAGGATTCCCTTCCACGTGTGCCACACATGCCACAGTCTCACCGCGACCTCATCTCCACGGAGATAGAGGTCCTTCACAACAAAAATGCCATAGAGGAAATCCCTCTAGATACCCCAGGTTTTCTAAGCAACCTGTTTTTGGTGCCGAAGAAAGGCGGGGGTGTCTGCCCGGTTATCAACCTAAGACCCCTCAATGCCTTCATCCAATATCAGCATTTCAAAATAGAGGGCATACACTGCCTCCGAGACCTCCTTCTCCCAGGAGATTGGATGGTGAAACTCGATCTGCAAGATGCGTATCTCACGATCCCGATAACGCCAACACACAGGAATCTGCTACAATTCCAGTGGGGCACAAAGAAATGGCGCTTCTGCTGCCTTCCTTTCGGTCTATCCTCCGCTCCCTGGTGCTTTACGAAAGTGCTGAAACCAGTGGTTGCATTCCTCAGGTTACACGGAATTCGTCTCATTATCTACCTGGATGATATCCTCATACTGTCTGGGACACGATCCCTTCTGCTGTCGCACCTGTCGTGGACCCTTCACCTCCTGCAGAACCTCGGTTTCCTGGTGAACTGGGAAAAATCGGTGCTGCAACCCTCTCAACAGATGGAATTCCTAGGATTCCGAGTCGACTCTGTACGACAAATTCTGTGCCTCCCTTTGGACAAGATGTCCAGCATCAAAAAGGAGATCAGGAGGATAATGAATCGTCCGGACATTTCTCTAAGACAACTGGCTCGGGTAATCGGCTTACTAGCGGCCTCCATTCAGGTGATCTTCCCGGGACCACTCCACTATCGGGCGCTACAACGCCTGAAAGCATCTTGCCTAAGGAACGGTCAGTCATACGAATCCAACATCACTCTGGACGAAGAATCCAAGGAACTGGACTGGTGGTTAACCCACATGGAAGCGTGGAACGGACGGGCGATTTTCGGTTCCACTCCAGATATGATAATAGAGTCGGATGCAAGCTTATATGGCTGGGGCGTGCGCTGCGGCTCCATATCCACAGGAGGCAGATGGTCAGTAAACGAATCATTCCTGCACATAAACTGACTGGAACTACTGGCGGCCTCATTTGCCATCCTCAGCCTCACACCCAGGGGCATCTCTTGCTCAATCCTCCTCAAGTTAGACAACATCTCGGCGGTCAGATACATAAACCATCTAGGAGGTACCAAGTCACGCATCCTGGCGGTTTTGGCTCGAGACTTCTGGCATTACTGTTTGCAAAACAATGTGTCGGTGATCGCGGAACACATACCAGGCCTAGACAATTACACCGCGGACTGGAACTCCCGATACCTGAGGGATTTAGGGGACTGGAGACTCCAACCGAAAGTTTTCTCCAGGATCGCACGACTATGGGGTCCCTTGAGTGTGGATCTCTTTGCGTCCAGACTGAACACGCAACTTCCTCAATTTTTCAGCTGGCGACCGGACCCGGAGGCCTTGGCAACAGATGCTTTCCTTCAGGACTGGACCGGGGGACGAGCATACGCCTTTCCCCCATTCAACCTGATTGCTCGGACTCTGGCGTACATTCGACGCTACAGAACCACGTTGGTCTTGATAACACCATGCTGGAGATCTCAACCCTGGTTCCCTCACCTTCTGGAAATGGCGATCGACTTCCCACGGTTACTACCGGATCAAACGTCCCTGTTAACCAACCCGGATGGGGAGAACCACGACCTGATAGAACGGGGAATCCTCCGACTCATGGCATGGCTCCTTTCCGGGGACCCTGGGAAATCACGGAATTTTCGAGAACAACTACCCAACTCTTGGCGAACGCCTGGGCACCAGGAACATGGCGCACATATGCTACGGCATGGAGAGCTTGGTCCGATTGGTGCCTGGAAAAAGTGAAAAAAGTGGATCCCATATCAGCTTCTGTAAAGACGGTACTAGACTTCCTCACTCAATTGTTCGAATCGGGCAAGGCATTCCGTACAGTCAACATCTACAGATCTGCTATCTCAGCGGCTCATGATACTGTGGACGGAATTCCTCTCGGACAGAACCCCCTGGTATGTCGCCTACTCAAAGGTATACGTTTCTCACGTCCACCTAAATCCAGATACGGATCCTTTTGGGATGTCAACATAGTGTTCAAATTCCTGGAAGAATGGCCCGACAACACGGCACTGTCAATTAAACAATTGTCTGCAAAATTACTCATGATTTTATGTTTATTATCCTGTAAACGAGTGTCAGATGTAAGGGCCTTGGACTGGCTAGCCCGCACGTTCACTCCGGAAGGAGTGTCTTTTGATATTTCACGGAGAACAAAATCAGCAACTAAGCAAGTCTTCTATCCACGCCTTCCGAACCAACCGAATCTGTGCCCAATACTGTGCTTAAAAGAATACGAATCCCGTACTTCTTCCCTAAGACCATCAAACAACGGCCCTTTGTTTATTTCACTAAAGAAACCACACCTCCCAGTAGCTACACCTACTCTCGCCCGTTGGGCCAAATGGTTATTAGCTTCGGCCGGGATAGACGTTACAATTTTTTCGGCCCACTCGGTCAGAGGCGCTATGGCTTCTAAAGCATCGACAGTAGGGTGTCGATTAGAAGACATCCTGGAGGCCGCAGACTGGTCTACGGAATCCACATTCCGGAATTTCTATTTTAAACCAATCCAACATTTCTCTGAAAGAGTTATTGCTCAGCTTTGAAAGAGCATAATAGGAGCCTCCGTGTCTTTAATAAAATTCCTAGATTTTACTATTAACATGACGTAAAGTCATGATTTTATTAAAGACACGGAGGCGAGTATTATTCCCTCCCGCCCTGGTGGAGGGATTGGATTTCTCACGGATTTCAACCACAGATCGGGTGGGCTCCTACGAACAAATTACCCTATTAGAAGGTTTTTCATACGTCACTCAGGTAAGTGGCTTTGTGATACAAGTAGACATAATCTTAACTAATATCTTATGTTATGACGACATGACTACAATTTTGTACGAAATAAGTTATAACCTCTATCATTAGGAGAGCAGATAGGGCAATCTGCCGCTCTGATCGGCTCAACCGGTCAGTTTGCTGTCTCCCGGGTGCTCGGGTCCGGCATGTTGCTGACAGAGTGGATGGATTATTGGGAGGGGCTGGGGATGACCCAGCGGTCATGGTCCATGTTGGTACCAATGACAAAGTAAGAGGAAGATGGAAGGTCCTAAAGAATGATTTCAGGGAATTAGGTAGCAAACTTAAGAAAAGGACCTCCAAGGTGGTATTCTCTGAGATATTACCTGTGCCACGCGCTACAGTGGAAAGGCAGCGGGAGATTAGAGAGGTCAATGCGTGGCTTAAGTCTTGGTGCAGGAAGGAGGGTTTTGGGTTTTTAGAGCACTGGGCCGACTTTGCGATTGGGTACAACCTTTATAGTGGTGATGGATTGCACCTAAACGGGAGAGGGTCTGCAGTGCTGGGGGATAGGATGGCTAGAAGGTTGGAGGAGATTTTAAACTAGTAGTAGGGGGGGAGGGTCATAGCAATCTACAAAATGGAGATAGGACAGAAAGGAGATGGGCTTTAGCACAGTATAAGGGGGGTGGAAACGGGGGGAGGGGCAAGCTCAGAACAGAGAAGCTGTGTAATGTTGAAAATTCACAAAATATACAAGTGATGCATAATATTAAATGTATGCTTACTAATGCAAGGAGCCTAAATAACAAAATGGGGGAACTAGAGGCATTAGCATACACTAAACAATATGATATAATAGGCATAACTGAAACATGGTGGGATGAGACACATGACTGGGCAGCTAACTTAAATGGGTACATGTTATTTAGGAAGGATAGGAAAAACAAGAAGGGTGGTGGGGTATGTTTGTATGTCAAACATGATTTAAAGCCAAATGTTAAGCAAATGGAATGCGAGGAGGATAATGTGGAAGCTTTATGGGTAAATATCTGCTTGGGGGAAAAGAAGGGAAACCAACTATTGGTTGGGATATGTTATAAACCACCTAATGTTAATATTGACGAGGAACAACAGCTGTTTGAGCAAATTGAGAAAGCTGCAAATCTGGGTAACACTTTAATTATTGGAGATTTTAATTACCCGGATATAAATTGGGACAGAGGGACTAGTGCCTCAGCAAAGGGAATTAGGTTTTTAAACTTGTTAAATGACACCTTCATGTCACAACTTGTACAAGCACCAACTAGAATGGATGCTTGTCTGGACCTGGTTTTAACAAACAACGTTGATCTTTTGACCAACATTCAAGTAGGTGAGCACTTGGGAAATAGTGATCACAATATAGTGTCCTTTGAAATAAACTCAAAAAAACAAAAGCACATGGGGAATACTAAAACCTATAATTTTAAAAAGGCCAATTTCAATAAGTTAAGGGAAGCTTTACAATATATTGACTGGCATAAACTCTTTAGTGAAAAGAACACTGAGGATAAATGGATCATTTTCCAACAAATATTACAAAGGTACATTTCTCAGTATGTACCGTTGGGAAATAAATATAAAAGAAACAAATTAAAACCAATGTGGCTTAGTAGAGAAGTAAAACAAGAGATTACAACTAAGAGAAGGGCATTTAAAGCATTTAAATCGGACAAATCAGATGCATCTTATAAAAGATATAAGGATGCAAATAATGCGTGCAAAAAGGCAATTAGACTTGCTAAACTTCAAAATGAAATAATGATAGCTGAAGAGAGCAAAACCAACCCCAAAGCATTTTTTAAGTACATAAATTCTAAAAAAAAACAAAATGAAAGTGTAGGTACACTAAAAACTGAAACGGGGGTGTTAATTAATGAAGACCAGGAAAAGGCAGGAATTTTAAATAACTATTTCTCCTCCGTATATATTAAGGAAGAACCCATGGCAATAGATGTGCAAATGATTGCTACTAAAAACTTGCAGAATAATTGTAATTGGTTAACTCAAGACAAGGTGCTGCAGCAACTAAAGAAAGTTAATATAAACAAAGCTCCAGGGCCTGACGGTATCCATCCACGTGTACTTAAGGAACTAAGTGCAGAAATAAGTGAACCTCTGTTTTTAATCTTTCAAGATTCTTTTCTTTCAGGAAGTGTTCCGGAGGATTGGAGGAAGGCAGATGTGGTTCCTATATTCAAAAAGGGTTCAAAATCCTTGCCTGGAAATTATAGACCTGTGAGCTTAACTTCTGTGGCTGGTAAAATATTTGAAAGGTTATTAAGGGATAATATTCAAGAATTCCTTGAGAAGAACATGGTTATCAGCAAAAATCAGCATGGTTTTATGAAGCACAGGTCATGTCAAACTAACTTGATTGCGTTCTACGAAGAAGTAAGTAGAAGTATAGATCAGGGTGTTGCCGTGGATGTGATCTATTTGGATTTTGCCAAGGCATTTGATACAGTTCCACACAATAGATTAGTGTTCAAACTCAAGGAAATCGGTCTAGATGAAAATGCTTGTTCTTGGGTAGAACATTGGCTTAAAAACAGAGTACAAAGAGTTGTCATTAATGGTAAATTTTCAAGCTGGACAGAGGTGGCAAGTGGTGTCCCTCAGGGGTCTGTTCTGGGACCCCTTCTATTTAACATGTTTATAAATGATCTTGAAGACCGCATTGAAAGTCATGTTTCAGTGTTTGCAGATGACACCAAACTTTGTAAAACAATACAATGTGAGCAAGATATTACTTTGCTGCAGAGGGACTTAGATAGACTGGGGGACTGGGCACTCAAATGGCAGATGACATTTAATGTTGAAAAATGCAAAGTTATGCACTTCGGCGTAAAGAATACACAAGCAACGTATACCCTTAATGGAAGCGAATTAGGGATAACAACACATGAAAAGGACTTGGGAATTGTTATAGACAACAAACTATGCAACAATGTGCAATGTCAATCAGCAGTGGCCAAGGCCAGTAAGGTATTGTCATGCATGAAAAAGGGCATTCATTCTCGGACGAGAATATAATTTTGCCTCTTTATAAATCACTGGTAAGACCCCATATTGAATATGCTGTGCAATTTTGGGCACCTGTTCTAAAGAAGGATATTATGGCACTAGAAAAAGTGCAGAGGCGGGCTACAAAATTAATAAAAGGAATGGAACATATCGGCTATGAAGAAAGGTTAACAAATTTAAACCTATTTAGTTTAGAAAAACGTCGCCTGAGAGGGGATATGATAACATTATACAAATATATTCGGGGCCAATACAAACCATTGTGTGGAAATCTATTCACAAACCGGACTTTACATAGGACACGAGGCCATGAGTTTAGACTGGAAGAAAGAAGATTTCGTCTAAGGCAAAGGAAAGGTTTTTTTACTGTAAGAACAATCAGGATGTGGAATTCTCTGCCTGAGGAAGTGGTTTTATCAGAGTCCATACAGATGTTCAAACGGCTACTAGATGCATACTTGCAAGAACAGAATATTCAAGGATATAATCTTTCAATGTAGGGTAATAACTGCTTGATCCAAGGATAAATCTGACTGCCATTCTGGGGTCAAGAAGGAATTTTTTTCCTAGCTTGTTGCAAAATTGTGCTTCAAACTGGTTTTTTTTGCCTTCTTTTGGATCAACAGCAAAAAACAAATGTGAGGTAGGCTGAACTTGATGGACGCAAGTCTCTTTTCAGCTATGTAACTATGTAACTATGTAACCTACGTGGGGATACATGATACAACCAGTTACCAACCAAATATTACCATATTTTCTCCTCTCTTTTTAGCCTGAATCATACTATCAAGGTGTTGAAGTTCCGATACAAGGCGCTACAGTCTAACCTCAAAGATTGGACATTTACCTATCGCCCACTGTTCCTGTTCGTGCCAAGTTTATAGTTCGGTTATGGATCTGGTCTTCGGATCGCGGAAGAAAGAGGAATAAGCATGGAGTGCTACACCTTATATACTAAGGGGGTGGATACCTATGATAGCACTGTCTATATGCTAATGTTATTTGTTCTTTTTTCTCTCTTTTGCATATATCTCTCTTCGCTGCTGAGGGAGAATTAAAGAAAGAGAAGCATAATACTCGCCTCCGTGTCTTTAATAAAATCATGACTTTAAGTCATGTTAATAGTAAAATCTAGGAATTTAGCATCATGAATCTTTTTTTTAAGAATGAGCAGACAAACATATCTTTTTTTTTATCTTAAAAGGTATTATACATTGTTTTCTGACATGGCAATTAGTATGATTTGCCTGCTTGGACATTCTGTAAAGTAGTCTCAATGAAAGATGTAAAGCTAGAGCAGAACAATAAGTAGAACAGATGGATTGAGCAGCCAGATAGATATTCAGTCTTTGGCTTGGGCTTACCCCTTGGGGGCTTACGGTGTGTTTCAAGACTCACTTCTGGTTCCTGTTCCTAAATTCAGAAAAACCCACAGTAATAATTACCACAAGGATGCTTTCCAAATAAACCACTATAACTGAGATTGTGATCTAAAGGAAAATGAAGCCAGTTGGTCTGAGATCAGTGCACTTGTTTGCTCTCTGTTCAAGTCCTTATTTGGCTGTAAAATATCAAGAATGATATCGCACTCAAAAGAATTTAGTTATCAAGAAGTTTTCATGAATCATATTTTCGTTATGTAAATATATTGCCATAAGGTTGGAAAGTACAAATGCTAAATATCTGGAATATCAGACTGAGTAAAAGACACAACTTATTGAAAGTACAGTACTCATATACCCTCAACCAACACCTAAACACATAGTGAATATATACACTGATAAAGCAAAATATACAAAACAGCATATACAAAAAAAAAAAACAGGCTTGTACCCTCTTATAGAGTTGTAGAACGCTGTTCTGGACTGCCTCATGTCAATTCTGTTCATATTTTGTATCTGTCGTTAGTATGCACTGCACAATGTCGACAGATCCCCTCCCTTGCACCACCATTGCTCCTTCTCCGCTATCCTCTGTGCATTTTTTTTTAAATCCTCCCTTCCTCTCTTCTCCACTCCCACCTTCCTCTTCCCTCGCCAGCTGGGAGCATGTACATGCGCTTTGAGCTGGCAAAACGGTCCAAAAATTTCTCAATGAGTACTGTGGCTTGTGATTGGTTCACAGCCCTGGAAGGGGGTGCATGGAGCTTCATCAGGCAAGGATTCTAGGTGAGTAAAACCTTATTTTGTTCACATTTTCATTAATATAAACTCACAACAAATCAGTTTTTTTTTCTTATACAAGGACTTGTCTTTCCTCTACAACAATATAAGGTTAAAGGATCACTATAGTGTCAGGAAAACAAACCCGTTTTCCTGACACTATAATGCCCTAAGGGTGCCCCCACCCTCAGGGCCCACCTCCCGTGGCGCTGAAGGGGTTAAAACCCCTTCAGCCACTAACCTTAATCCAGCACCGGGCTCCCTCAAAGCTGGTGACCTCTCCTCCCCCGCCGACGTCAGCTCCCGAGCGGAGCAGGATGCACATGCACAGGAAGTGCCGCACGCACATTCAAATAGTCCATAGGAAAGCATTTCTCAATGCTTTCTTATGGACGTTCTGCACGCTGGATGCGAATTTTGCATCCAGCGTCGCAGTTGCGCCTCTAGCGGCTGTCAGGAAGACAGCCACTAGAAGTTGGATTAACCCTGCAATGTAAACATAGCAGTTTCTCTGAAACTGCTATGTTTACATCTGAAGGGTTAAAACCTGAGGGACCTGGCACCCAGACCACTGCATTGAGCTGAAGTGGTCTGGGTGACTATAGTGTCCCTTTAATGATAACCTCTCGCGTGTTATGAATAAATAAAATTTCTTATAACATACACACAAGCAATCAATGAATGCAAATATATTTTTTGGAGCCATTATATATATATTTTTTTTTTTTAGTTGCAGTTGTTTGATTTTTTTTAAAGATCCAGTAAACAAGGATACTATTATTGGTATTTAGAAAGCTCCAACATTTTCTTTAAGAGATTAAAAAAAAAATCCCTAAAGAATTTGCTATGGATCTATGAAATTACTTCTCATCGATCTATATACTGCCCACCCAGCGTGCTTTAGTGGTTATAGTGCTTAAAGTGTTGTTTTAAAAATGAGTTTTGTTAGAATGACTACGTTCATATCATTATATGCTCTTTAAATGTCTCCAATTTGTGGCTGTATAATTCCTATGACCGATAGCCGTAATGATGCTTATCAATGAAAAATTGTTTCCTGCTTTTTCTTTGCACATACTGTGTTAAAGATGTGTAGTGCAATGTTCATTGCATATAGAGTGGGTAAATAATGGGTTTTTCAAAATAATTTGTCCTTCCCTTCCTTATATCAGCTAGCCACATATTACTATCTTCTAGCAGTTCTGCCGTAAATAGCACTGCACCTAAGAAGTAAACAGCAAATGTAACAACATTACAATTCACTGTGTAGTAAGGAAAGTTATTTTTTAGGAACATCACATTGACTTTTATCCAGTCATCATCTGTCTTCTGTGTACTCATCCTTGACAGTTGCATAATGTATTAGAATGTTCCCCCGCCGCCCCAAAAACAAAACTTGTATAAATCAAAGCTTTGAATAAGCTAAACATTTCCAGACAAAGTTGGCTAAAATAAGGCTGAGTGTGTTGCAATTACCTGGAAACTAGTTTGTGATATGTAAAAACATATTTACGTTTATTTTGTAAGTTAGTGTTATATCACAAAACATATAATAAATCTGCTTTAATATTTCAGTACATCAAATAAAAAAGAAACAATGAAAATTACCTTCACATTTAGCAAGCAGTTAAGGAAGATAAATTGATTTTATAAAGTAATTACAATGAACATCTTCAGGAGACTGAAGAACTGTACAAGTAAGATTTACCTTGTTTTACAGACTAAGAATTGTAAAAGCGTTTATATGGTCTATTTTCAACATCGCAACTTATCTAATGATAAATGCATCATGTGGAATAGAAAATGGATCAAAGATATATAGATGGAATTAAAAATCATCTGCCCTCTTAAGGAAAATAAAACAACAATCAATCATCTCCATTTATGGTATCAAAATATTTGTTGACAAATGGGTCACATAAAATAGAAATTGAGATTCAAAGATTTGAACACTATGCCTGAGAGGCACTGCAAGTGTCAGAATGATAAGAAAAACAAAATATACAGTAATAATTTCTCAGAAGACATGCTCAGAAGAAAACAATGTAGAAGTTGGCACAATGACAGTAACTAATACAAAAAAAACACAGCATTTTAAGCAGATTGGTAAGTTGAACATCTCAAGTATATAATTATTTTTTTTAACGTTCTCAAAACACCAAATGAAATCACCAGACGCTGTAATGGCTGTCAGTGAAGGAATAAAATACAGAAATAAAATCTTATTCTTTCTATGCCACATAGTCATGTTCCACGTTTGGGGTATTTCAGTACCTAACTAGTCAGCTTTCAATCGAAATAAAGTCTAAGAATACACGGTAAGTCCCTTGGGTCCAATAGGCTAGAAGAGGACTGTTTAAAGGATCACTATAGTGTTCCTGGCACTATAGGGTCATTACATCCCCCCCACCCTCAGGGCACCCCTCCCATTGGGCTAAAGGGGTTAAGACCCCTTCAGTCACTTACCTTTCTCCAGCGCTGGGCTCCCTCGGGGCTGGGGAACTCTCCTCCGTCTGCCGATGTCAGCTGCGAATGCAAGAGCTGCGCGTGCATTCAAACCACCCATAGGAAAGCATTACTCAATGCTTTCCTATGGACGTCCAGCATCTTTTCACTGTGATTTTCAGTGAGACAGCCACTAGAGGCTGGATTAACCCTCAGTGAAACATATCAGTTTCAGAGAAACTGCTATGTTTTCAGCTGCAGGGTTCAAACTGGAGGGACCTGGCACCCAGACCACTTCATTGAGCTGAAATGGTCTGGGTGCCTATAGTGATCCTTTAAGGTTGACTTCAAGTGCCACAGCCAAGAACAATAAGGACTTTTTCCTACTTTGAGATCAATGAAAATTTCCCTTTTGTTGTGCTTTAGTGTGTCAACACAATATGCCTTTTAAAGACAAGTCAGGATTTAAAAGAATAAAAAAAAAATCAAATAAAATTAATTGAAAAATGCTAAAAATAATAGTCTCATGTATATCATTGGGTATACAGAAACCACAGGGAACTTAAATTAAATTATATATCTTGCAGTTCTACTACCAGCCTGTAGTAGCATACATTTAAAAGCTAAATTTTTTCTACAAATGTAGTAGCATACATTTAAAAGCTATATTCTACATACATACATTTAAGTACCACAGGCGTAAATGCTACGTACATTTATTTAAATACTTATAATTAGGGATGTGCAAGGGCAAAAAATTTGTTTCAGTTTGGCACTTCCGAAATTCGGGACTTCAGCAATTCGGTACTTGGGCACTTCGGTTCGGCACTTCACCAATTCGGGACTTCGCCAATTCGGTAATTCGGCACTTCTGAAATTTGCCATTTCAGTAATTCGGCATTTCAGTAATTCGGCAATTTGGACATTCGGAAGCATCCGAATGTATGAATTGCTGAAATTAATCCGAATTTACATTCGGAACAAAACTAATTGCACATGTCTACTTATAATGTGCAGTGCTTCTAAATTTTATTCACCACTTGTCAGGGTATTTATATCGGCAGACATCTTGTGCTATGATAGAAATTAAAAGTGTACATGCTGAGTCACTCTAAACAGAGCAGACTCCATTTTGTTATTTTCAAGTGAACAAAAGACACAAGATTTCTATCTGTAAAACTAACCACTTTCCCAGAGCTAAAGGAATGCATAGTATATACAAACCAAGTGATAAGGAGAACGGGGGTTGGATAGACTGTCTAAAATGTTAATGGAATAGATGCATATCTAAACACAGACATTTGTGACAGAGGAGATTAAACAATAAAATTCTACTTTCTATATGTACAAGATCCCATTATAAGTTTAAGGTGAAACTTAGTTCGTGAACTGCCATATTAAAAATTATAGCAGGAATTGCGGACACTAAGTCTGGACAAAACTAAGAGAAAACCCTTTGAAGTGAAAGAAAAAGTAAGTTATGGCAAATATATAGATAAGCCAAAATGACGTCAAAATAGCCACCAGGAAAAGTTAACTCTTTCCTGGATAGGTATATTTAGTGGGACGAGACTGCCCTCTATAGACCAAATACTTAAATTGTCAAAAGGAAGGTAAGCACACCCCAGTGCTTCTATTGGGTTATCAACTAATGACGTACAGAGAGTCTGGCCCTTTAAAAGTTAGGACAAAGGGAAGACAGGAGTTGAGAGAAGGAAAAAGATAGAGGAATTGGAAGTTTGGGGACTCCAACTCGGACATGAAGAGAAACCCAGGACAACATCTGAGACTAACACTCTACTCTTAAAACTCTAACACTTAGAATTTTACTGACTTTCTAACCAACACCACCTTTCACCATAACTCATGCACCTACAGACATCCAAATAAGTTCCTGAGACTATCTACCAATCGGATGAAATATCTACTCAACTGGTAATTATACTGGTTTCATTTAATTAATTAAATTAATTAAAATTTACTAATAGCATGATATATGACTGGATAAATCACGGTCAGATTTCCATATTAAGAAATCTTAGTTAACTAAAGAATATATAGTTATAAACATTCCATTCTGCAGGTGGAATTAAGAATAATTATATATTAATGTGATATTATCACGTGTTAGCATACCGCTGTTTTTATCCAGGTGTATTGATTTGCTCTAATATAAGATAAGATATCTTTTAGACAAATTAAATTATGCTTATATAACATGGTAGATTCTCTTATTGGATGGTTCCAGGAAATGACTAATGAACTGGTTTAAATGTTATTTTATTTAAAATTCCATAAGAATAGATCTTAATTACCTAGGAGATCTAGCCAGCATTGAAAGGGTTATTCAGTTGATCTAACTGTTAGCCAGGGTTTTATGGCTCTTCGCTGTGAAAAGCTTCGCTTTCTATGTCTGTAAGGATACCTCATAAATCGTGTAAGTCTTGACAGAAAATGCTGTTTAGCCATTGAAACGTGTATAGCCATTCCTTTGTATTGCATACCATTTTATACTGGATATTCATTGATTATTGTCACGCATGTTACATAATATTATTATTAATTATTGGTCATAATAAATAAATCTATTTTTATAACAAATTGTGATTTTATTTATATGAAATACTTTTCACTTAACACAATAACGATCTTTGGGATCTGAGAATTTAATTAGTGGGCAATTCTCACTGTTTACTATTATTATCCCATAAATATCCCCACACACTACTCTGTTAAGCCATTCTTGCTCATAATAGGTGCTGCAGCAGTGTGACAAATGCTCTAAGATCTGTTCATGAACTGATTTCAGAAATACCAAACACCAATTTTTTTTATCAAAGTTGTCCATTTTGGGGGGACATTTCTTCCACCAATGCTTGACTGTACTATCAGACTAACAGACTCAACTAACAACTATATGTTTTCAGCTATCAGCTTACTTTAGAAAACATTGTGTTTTTTTTTATAGTATTAAAGCATTAAATTATGGTATTTAAAAATGTGTGTATTTTATTTTATTTACTTTTATTTTTAGTTCTTTGAAGGAAGCATTAGGAAGGATTCCGTTAGTGCTAAGCACTATGTAATTGCAGTCTTAAAGGGCAAAACATAAATTTCTCATTGTGTCTCAGAATTGGCCCCATGACATCATGTCTGTGTTCGCCCAGTGATTAGTGTAAGATTTCCTTGCAGGACCTCAACTGATGAAATTAACAATATATGTGACCAGCATGAGACACATTGTCCCTCTTATTGGCCATATGAACAGTTATGTCAGGAAGATGAGAAAATCAAACTTCACTAGCTGGGATAAATGTGCACACATACATTTAGTTAACATTGAGCCACTAAATGTAAATGTATGTAAATGTGAATGTATCTGACAGTGGCTAGTCCAATGTGTCAATAAACACCTGACTCTTCCAGTGATAACAGGGGATTAGACAAAACTAGTATAGACAGTATAAATGTCCATTCCATAACAGGCCATTAAGTCTTAGATAAGTATTACACAAAGCAACATCAATGTACTTTGCAGTCAAAATACTTTGAAGATATTTGATATTATGCCATTGTATTTATTTCACCTAGGGATTTTTAATTATATTTTTATTTTATTATATGTTAGATGTTTTAAACTATGGATATCCATCTATCTATCTATCTATCTATCTATCTATCTATCTATATATAATTTATTTTTTTAAATAAGCTTAACATATTGATCTAGTCAATTTAAAAAGCAAATAGCATAACTGCACTTAACACAAAAACTTCAACTTAAAAAACAAAACATTCAACTTAAAAAAATATATATTTTTATAAAAAATGCCATGCATAGCATCTTTACAAGGCTCTTAATCAGGGCCGGATTAACATAGGGGCTGATGGAGCTGGAGCTCTAGTCCCATGCCCATGGAATAGGTCCATTGTTTAAAAAACTACTACTACAGCTTTTCACATGCTCTTGCTTAAGTATGGAAACTTAAGAGGGATGTAGGGTAGCAAAATTTGTGTAGACTGGCTGACAATGAAATTAGCTGAGGTAAAGCTGACTTTGCGCACTATGCAAATGCTCTTGCTGCTTCAGTCTCTCTAACACTGTGGCATGTTCCCTTTCTTCTACACTCACTATATGCACCTTTCCTCTGTTCCAGACTGTATAACAGAAGCTTCAGCCTGCTTGTAAGAAGGCAAGGCTGTGTCCATTATGTTTGGACAGGCAGTCAGTCTTTTTCCTGGGCAGACCCATCCATTTGTGGGTCACCAGTGATGCAAGTGGCATCACTGTCATGTTTCTCTATAGGATCCACACTATTTGTCCATAGTGTTGTGAGGTATATTATAAGCCAAGTGAGCCAATGTTTGACAGCAGGTACTGACCCATAGTGAAGATCTAAAATGTATATAAAGTTGTAAACCTTTCTAGGTAAGTGTCTCTCACATTTTTGTTTGATTTTTATGTTTGCTTTTAAAGCTACCATCCCCAGGGTACCTTCAGAAAAATTATGTGATTTTCGTTAGACCAGCTAATAAGGTTATCCTTTATGGAGTTTAGATTAGAATGTCTCTGCAGATGAGAGACCATGCTAGCTATATAAATATAATGAAATGGTTTGTCCCTTTTTTACCCTATATTGTATTTATTACAATATATAAAGTATTTCCCAGAAGAGTTTGCTGAAAGAGGTTATTATGTTTGTTGGATCCCATCCATCTGATATGAATCATCAAAACATCGTTACAAGAATTGAAAACGTAACAGAAAGTAATTGATTGCATCAAACCATGAAAATTGTTTGAAAAATAGTTTAAGTGGGAATTCAAAATTAATAACCACCTTAGCAACTTGAAAAATATATATTTACAGACATTGTACTACACCAGTATTACCTAAATGAAATTAATATATCAACCCCAGCATGACAGATAATGTCCTATTGTGTGTGTCTGTTAGTGAGTCTGTTTGATGTCTGTTAGTGAGTGTGTATGTTTTGTAAGTGAGTGTGTATGTGTGTCTGTCTGTCAGTGAGTGTGTATGTATGTATGTCGCTGAGTGTGTCTCTGTCAGTAAATGTGTGTGTCTGTTAGCTAGTGTGTATGCGTCTATTCGTGAGAGTGTGTGTGTGTTTAAAACCCCTTCAGCACTTACCTTTCTCCAGTGCCGGACTTCCATGGCACTGGGGATCCCTCCGCCCCGATCCGCCTCAGCTGCGAATGCGCATGTGCCTCTAGCGGCTGTCAGTGAGACAGCCACTAGAGGCTGGATTAACCCTCAGTGAAACTGCTATGTTTTCAGCTGCAAGGTTAAAACTAGAGGGACCTGGCACCCAGACCACTTCATTGAGCTCATGTGATCTGGGTGTCTGTAGTGGTCCTTTAAGTGTGTGTGTATCTGCATGCACTGGCATACATACCGCGGTCGCAGGGGTTGCAGCCCTGCAACCCCTGCAACCAGGTGCCCGCCGCCATGTGTTCCGGCCCGCGCAGAGTAAGCGCGGAGGGGGGGGCCATGGATCAAACAAGCATCCGAACCCACACACACGACTTTCAAACGCAGACATCACCATTGATTTAGGATTGTTTTTACTATTATATTTTTTATTGTGTCCCTGAAGAGGTCTCTTTCGAGACAAAAAGTGTAAGACCGTTTTTTCTTGTACTTTATTTTATATATATATATATATATATGATAAAGCAGTTTATATTTTCTGATACATCCTGAATCTGGCTTTCCATACTGGACCGGCCCCCTAATCATCCAAGGGGAAGCATCCTAATGTAATTTCCAAGTCTTCATCTAGTGTGTGTAATTGAATTCAGCGCATAGCAACCAATTCCAAACTGTATTACACTATTGTATTGTCTTACTTTTCTGTATGTTATCGGCTGCATCCTCTGTATTCTGTTTGGTGACATAGGCATTTTACCTTCTGGTATTTCACTTATGGGGATGCCAGAAATAAATCACAAGCATGTGATGGACAAACACGGGACATTTTCCCTATACTTGAGCACATCAGCAGGGCTCTGTGCATGGGATGTCAAACAGATTTGTCCTTTTCGGGGCATCTGGGTCATTGCCACGCCCTCTCTTGCATGGGCAGCTCTGCCTTTAAAAACTTGGTACATATTTTTGTCTCAGTCCTGCAGTATGTCAGGATAACTCAATTTTAAACTTGCCTTGTTCGCTACTGACCTAGTTAAATTAATTGATTACCCACCACAAATGTAGAAGAACAGAGGACATCTGAGTGTTTGTGTATCATGTTCTTACACCTCTCATATTATATCTGCCCTCTGAGTGTATCAGCCCACTGAACACCTCTCTATGTGTCCATACTCCCATGTGCAGTTGCTTGTGCAGAGTATAAAAAATTCTGTTTATGCAGAAATAATGTTTTATATCGCGGTAAGAAAAGCAGGAGGAGTAGAAAAATATAAATATAAATAAAAAAGCTGTATTTATATAAATATTAAATATAATATATTTATATACATATAAATATTTAATAAATGTATGATATTTACATATAGATTATTTTGATTTACTGCTCCTCCTTTTTTCCCTCGCTTGGTCAAATTTTTATTACGCAGCGCTTTTCAGTGGGTGGATGAACAAACATGTAGTTGTGGCCAGACAAGTTACATGCTAGAGGGAGTGGGGTAAAATGACACAAAAAAGTAAGGATAGTATTAGACTAGTGGCAGCTGCAGAAGAGGAATCAGTCAGGAGCTATTAACAGTTTAATTGATACGCTTTTATGAAGAAGTGGGTTTTTAATGATTTTTTGAAGGAGTGGAGACTGGGTGAGCATCTAACAGAGGAGGGAAGTGAGTTCCACAGGAACGGTGCAGCCCTCGAGAAGTCTTGAAGGCGAGCATCAGAGGTGGGAGTACAGACGGAAGATAGACGTAAGTCTTCAGCAGAGCGTAAGGACATAGACGGGACATACTTGTGTATTAGGGAGGATAGATAGGTGGGAGCAGCATTATGTAGAGATTTTAAATCAAGAACCAGAATTTTTAATTGAGCCCTATATCTTACAGGAAACCAATGTAGGAACTGACAGAAGGGTAGGGCGTGGGCGATGCGGGCGGACAGGTGAGCCTCGCCACCACATTCATTATGGACTGTAACGGTGCAAGTAGGGAGCACGTAAGACCACTGAGAAGCAGATTACAGTAGTCAAGGCGTAAAAGGACAGTGGAATGGACCAGCACCTTAGTTGCATCTGGCATTAACTAGGGTTAGATGCGCGCAATGTTTTTGAGATGGAAGCGGCAGGATTTGGTGATAGACTGAACATGAGGCATGAAGGAGAGGTCGGAGTCAAAGAGAACACCTAGGCAGCGAGCCTGCGTGGTGGAGCTGATGGTAGCACCGTTGACTTGGAGGGAGACAAACACAGGAGTAGCAATACTTGAGGGAGGAAAGACCAGAATTTCAGTTTTGGTCAAGTTGAGTTTAAGGAAGTGGGCAGACATCCAGTTAGAAATAGCAAAGAAGAAGTCAGAGACACTAGTCAAGAGGGACGGGGAGAGATCAGGAGAGGACAGATAGATTTGCATGTCATCCACATAGAAATGATATTGGAACTCATGTCAAGATGAAAAAAAAAAGAAATTAAAAAAAAGAAATGATATTGGAAGCCAAAGGAGCTAATGAGTTTACCATTATTAACCTTTTCTTCCAAACTTTTTGAAGCCACAAAAGAACTCTAAATCACGAAACAAACAAAATAATTTCATCCATTGTCTGTTTCACTTACGTTATTATTCATCTATATCGTGATTTGGATTGAGCACAATTTGTTTGAAAATGAATGCACAAGTCTATTTGCCATTATATAAGCAAACATCAACTCTAAATGTATCATAATTATAATTATACAAATAATTAGAAAAAACATTGCGATAGCCAGCTTGCAATAAAAGGATCACACTGTCTGGATGCTTGTCATCTACAAGCTTGCCTTTCAAGCTGACTGTATTTTAAGACCATCTAGAATGATAAAGGGAAAGTGTGGTGCACCCAAGCTGGCTGGAAAACGGGGGCGATACATAAATAAAATAGCACTTAGCCAATTTTATATGTTATTTGCTGCAGGCACCGTCCTGCTTATTAGATTGTGCTTTTATCTCTCTGCTAGAGAGATGTTACAGTCAACAAGAGCATGTGTTACACTGAAATAAGAATTTGCATGACACTAAAACAAATGTATATAATAATATATTTTAAATATATAGATTAAAGTTGATTTAGGAAAAGTGATTTATGCAACATGTTATACAAATAAATAAATCCTTTATTTCCTTACACATAGCCCGTGTTATAGTAAAGCTGTGATTTATTATAGCATGTATTACGGTTGTTGTGATCTGAGACTGTGCACTAAACAATTATATTTATAACACTGTATGTTATCAGAATTCTAAAATCTGGCTTTAAAGCAGCCATTAAGAGGATTTTCAACACTAATGGGCATCTGCTTTATAAGTAGAAATCCATGGCTGACTATACAAATATGCATAAACATTCATGATTTGTATGTGATAAATTATAGCAATTTAGGAGATCCAGGAAATTATATTTGTATGCTCTTTGTCATTTATAGGAAATAATGTTCTGTAGCTAATCTATATTGGTATCTGAAACAGGAATGTATGGCCATAACTATCCTCACAAACCATTCTGCTTTCTACCATGGCAGATGGAAAAAAAAACTGTATTGTCACAGAATCTCAGACTAGTATGGAATTAACTATTTTAGCAGGACACGAGATTCACATTTTCGTAATAGTGACTTAAAGGAAAACTATAGTGCCAGGATATAAAGAACAATAACACAGTCACAGTGCAAAAAGTATATGAATCCTCAGAAAACTTAAAAACACATGAACTTTTCTCTTTTGGATAAAACTCACAAGATAAAAATGTGTCAATCAACCATCTGCGCTTTAGGGATTGATCAGACCCAGGGGTGCATGGGATCCAAAACACGGTACCACCTCAAGCAATGAAAAGAAGCAACCCAAATCTCTATAATTCAGTTGAAATTGTTATTGTATCCAGTCCACATCAATGAAAGCAATCAAGAAAACAATTCAGTATAGCTGAGGATTTAACTGTGACCAACATTTTCACAACACTCAGTAGCAAAAGCAAGCAATTCTTGAACAGTCCTTGCTACAATGTGACATAATTTACAGTTCACAATTTGTTCATCATTTTAACCCACTGTAGCTATTGCAAGCAATTTAAAAACTTGAAAGTACAGAGAATACTATACTCATTTAAGATTCTAGTTACACCCATGACCCCAGTATCAGGATTATTTGTACTGTACCCGACCAGTTGGCAAATGAAGGCTAAAAAAATTGCAGCTATAGTAGTGTTTGCGGCTAGGAATCTGCTGGCATTGCATTGGAAAAAAAAAAATTGCCCCTTAATGACGGAATTGCACACGAAAATACATCAATATTACATTTATGAAAAACCCATGATTCCATGATGAATTAATTACATTGTTCCCCGACCCTATTTTTTTTTCTGTATCCCTACATCTATGAAAATACTTTATAATATGCTCCCTTGCATATTTAATTATAGCTTCACTTGCCGCCAATGGGTTGGAGCTGGCAAAGTTTTAGTTTTAGATACCCCTATTTATTTTAGTCTTCTACTTTAATGTAATAGCCATCACCCTATGCCCATAGTTGGTGGCTACCCAGTTGCTAATTTTGAATTACCAAGAGCAGCTACTGGCTTCTTGCTGTCTAGCAGACTTGCCCCTACCCTCACTCTGTCAAAAAAAGCAAATAGGGGCATAGGAGAGGTGTAAAACCTCTCTTGTAATAAAGTGAGTCTTATACTGACTCATATGCTTTTTTTGTATTTTTTAAGACTAAACTGGTTAGTCATTAAAAATAGGCTGATAAATGGGCTTCCTCCCACAATGGATAGACTAGGCACTTTTGTATTGCTGCACCCATAAAAATATCTAGATCAGTTTATACCACCATTTAACCTTTTTCATAGTTGAAACGTAATGCCCCACCCACAATAATTTTACAATACCCACAGATTTTAGTACAAATCTAGAAGTTCCCTAATTTAATACAAATTTTATGTTAACATAGCTACAATTATGTTTTGCAGGAAAAAACCTCACGTGCAGTATCAAATATAGCGTTAGTTTTGTATAGCCTGAGCATGTACAGAAATCAAAAATCGCTCTCCACACAATTCCACTATCGAAGAAATAATGGGTAGGTGGTTTAAATGTACCCTTCCATTTAAATTACAGGTAATAAACAGTTAAGTATTTCTGTTATTTTGTTTATTTGTTTGTTTTTTACAATCATTTTATGGTATACCACCAATGCTTAATTAAAAGTTCCCCTGCCGCAATTGAAAGGTCCGTTGCTATATGCATCTGTATGTAAATCTATTGTGTACTGTTTAAGTATAACATGCAACATCTTGAGAGGACAAACCCATCAATCCAATTTAAAGGGACACTCCAGGCACCCAGACCACTTCTGCCCATTGGAGTGGTCTGGGTGCCAACTCCCACTACCCTTAACCCTGCAACTGTAAATATAGCAGTTTTCATAAACTGCAATACTTACATTGCAGGGTTAACTCCTCCTCTAGTGGCTGTCTACTACTAGACAGCCACTAGAGGGCACTTCCTGGTTTATAGCACATATTTTCTTTGTCCTATAGCGTCGCTGGACGTCCTCACGCTATGTGAGGACCTCCAGCGTCGCTGAAATCCCCATAGGAAAGCATTGAAAGCATTTTTCAATGCTTTTCTATGGGTAGGTCTAATGTGCTTGCATACGCAATAGGTCTCCCCGGCGGATGACGTCGGCGGGGGAGGAGCGTGGGCGGACCCTGAACCAGCGCCGAGGGACATCAGCGCTGGATAAAGGTAAGTCACTGAAGGAGTTTTAACCCCTTCAGCAACCTCGGATGGGGGGTGGGAGGGAGAGGGGACCTGCAATGCCAGGAAAACAGTTTGGTTTCCTGGCACTGGAGTGTCCCTTTAATATAACCACCTCTATTGAATGTTGCTTTTTTCAATAATCTTGGATAGTGGGTCGGTCCTGGATCTTGGATGCTGATTGGCTATTGGTCCCAACCTTGACAGTAGATCATGCAACTACTAACAATCTTATCACCTAACTGAGTTGATTTAATTGCTCCGATCCAATCAACAAATACATAAGGTGAAAATGCTCTGTTGTAAAGTGTAGGGCAGATTTATATTGAAATAAGGTTTTGACTAGAAGGGGCAGTTATGGTTCTGAACTGTCTTGCAGAATGATATAGTCTTGCATTTTAGTATGACAGATTCTAGGTAAGATAGCTGAAACAAACCATCAAACAATTGGCAATATAGAGGACGTTAGAGATAAACAGAGAGATTTTGTTCTGTTCTAAAAAGAGGTCCATAAATGTAAAAGGGAAGGAGTCACAAAAGGAATGTGCCTGCTGGTTACCCCCTTTCATACAGTAGCACTGTTTAAATTGGAAGAAATATCACTCTGTCAAAAAAAGTTATCTTACAAAAATCAATACGCATTGGATACACATTAACTGACATTTTGAGTAGATAATGGTTATTTATTTCCAAAATAATGATGCTGATAGACTAATGTAAAAAGATAAAACCAACTTTATGAGCATTCATCAGATAGTGATATATTACCGCAGGTGTTTGATAAATCTTCACATCATATCAGGAATGAGATGGCCATATTTCTGTGCAAATTTTATAATGTCCTATTTTTTTGTACACAATTATATTGTTGTGGATGGAGAAATATTTCTCCTTTGTCCTTTTTATTCTGTAATAATAATATTTGATAAAAAGTTAAATGGCAACTAATTAAGAATGCAACTAATTGATGTGCTTCTAAAGAGAACAGTTACATTGATCCAGACGGGGGCATAACAAGGTGTATCCAGAGAAGTAACAGCACCCCGGTGCTGGAATTAAAGAAGAGCCCCCCTTGCTCCCCCCTAAACCATACACCTAAGTAAAATGTGTGTGGTGACTGAGTGTGCTTGTGTGGGGGTTAGCTAAGAGTGATTCTGTTTGGGGCTTGGTTGTGTCTGATTGTGTTGTTGGCAGAGTGTGATATGTATGTGTAGAGTTGATGGAGTCATTTTGTCTGTATGTGTGTGGCTGGCTAAGTGTGATTGTATATGGGGTTTGGCTGCGTGTGAGTGTGGAGTGATTGGCCCTGCTGGCGGACACTCTCCTAAGCCTGGCAATTCCCAGTGCTAATGCTAACATGCTGGTTTCACTGCCATCATCCCATATTCCCCCATCAAGTACCAGCTGAGCAAGTAACAGTGACAGGAAGCAAGAGGACAGCCTGTCACTCAATCTATGGCATTAGACCCTGTATGCTACTGGCACACATGTCTAATGTTGAGGATTTAATTGAGTGGTATGGGAGGGACCTATTTTAAAGAGCTTTAATTTAAAAATCATACATTTGTTAGCATTTCTGGTAGCACAATGTGCAGATGGAATTCAATGCTCTTTAATATATCTACACTTTAATATAATAATATAACACATTTATTAACAATACATGCATGTCTATATACACTATATTATATAGTGTGTGTATGCATATACGTAAAGACATACATGCACACATATATGCATATTACTACATATCAAATTACTTGATTAAAACTATTTTTTAACATTTTAACAAAACTAACATTTTCATCCTTTCAAGGACACACACTCTTACTAACCCAAACATGCACTCATTGGCACCCATACTGTTTAACCAACACGCAATTTCACTGACAGATATATGCCCTCACTGATATACATACACTAATATGCACTCACTGGCCTACACATACACATACACACACTGTCACATACTCACTGACATACACATACACACTCACTGACAGATACACACCCTCACTGATTTGACACATTCTGACAGACATACACATACACTGACAAACTCACACTCACTGACAGACACACTATCATGGCAATCACATTCTCACTGATTAATACACACTGACAGACACATACTCTCACTGATTTAAGACACATTGACAAACACACACATTGACAGACACACATATATTGATAGGCACACACATTGACCAGCACACATATTGACAGACAAACACATACTGACAGACACATACACGTCACTGACAGACACACACTCTCACTGATTTGACACTGACAGACACTCACACTCACAGACACATACAATCACAGACAGACACACACAAAAACACACATTGACAGACACACATACGCTAGACACACACACTCAATGGCAGACACACACTTAATGACAGACACACACGCCACTGACAGGCACACATTTTCACTGATCTGACACACACTCACAGACACACACTCTCACTGATTTGGCACTGACAAACACTCACAGACATGCCCACATTCAATGACAGACACACACACAATCACAGACACACACTCACAGACAGACACACACTCATTGATACACACACTTAACCCCTTAAGGACCAAACTTCTGGAATAAAAGGGAATCATGACATGTTACACATGTCATGTGTCCTTAAGGGGTTAAAGGACCACTATAGTGCCAGGAAAACATACTCGTTTTCCTGGCACTAGAGTGCCCTGAGGGTGCCCCCACCCTCAGGGACCCCCTCCCACCTGGCTCTGGAAGGGGGAAAGGGGTTTAAACTTACCTTTTTCCAGTGCTGGGCGGAGAGGTCTCCTCCTCCGATCCTCCTCCGTTCCTCCTCCTGGGCTGAATGCGCACGCGCGGCAAGAGCTGCGTGCGCATTCAGCCGGTCAGATAGGAAAGCATTCATAATGCTTTCCTATGGACGCTGGCGTGCTCTCACTGTGAAAATCACAGTGAGAAGCACGCAAGCGCCTCTAGTGGCTGTCAATGAGACAGCCACTAGAGGGAATGGGGGAAGGCTTAACCCATTTTTTCATAAACATAGCAGTTTCTCTGAAACTGCTATGTTTATGAAAAAATGGGTTAATCCTAGCTGGACCAGGCACCCAGACCACTTCATTAAGCTGAAGTGGTCTGGGTGCCTAGAGTGGTCCTTTATTGACAGACACACTATCACAAACAGACACACACTCTTACAGAAAGACATACACACACACTCATTGACAGACACACACTCACTGACGGAGACATACATACACATTTTCTCACAAACTCACTTTTTTTTCTGGAGCTGATCCTTTAACTGGGGTCTAGTGTGGATCCCGTCCCTAGGGTCCAGTGTGGATCCTGTCCCTGGGATTCAGTGTATATACTTTCATCTTCTTGCTCTGCTCCATTGCATTTAAGGATGCCAGGGCCAGAGTGATGTCATATTCGGACTCCAGGCATCGGCATCAATGCAGGGCATTTAAGGGAGCAGAGCAAGAAGTAGTAAAGGAGAAAGGGAGGTTCTCCCGAATGCTTGTCATTAAAAAATTCTGTTAGTCCAATAAAAAAGGTATTACAAGATACAAATTGTATTTGTTTTTTACATCTACACCACTGGACTAATACGGCTACAATCTCTACTTGAACACTATCTATATATATATATATATATATATATTTTTTTTTTTGTGAATACCAATCAAAGGTTGCCTCTTTTTACAGAGGAGTGTGTATAACAAAAGTGCTCAAAAGAGTCAAAAAGTGATTTACAGGCAGCTCAATACACTAGTGTGGAAATATCCTCTATTCCACTGAATAAATTTAGTAGATATTGGTGCGGTGTAAGTGACAAGGACCTACACCTATAAGTGGAGCGCTCAAACACAGATAAATCTTACCAAAACGTAGTCTCATTCAATGGTAAAATATGGGGTACATGTCAAAATAAAATACAGAAAATACAATATAGTGTAGACGGTACTAAAAAATGGCTTCACAGTGATTATAATAATATTGTGTTGAATATTACACTCACATTTCAAGGAGCCTGTATATAGAAAACACTGGCTCCGTATAAAGGCTTGTGTGCTGTTATGGTAGCACCACCCTCCTACTTCGGCTTGAAGAATTTCTCAGGAACACGAAAAAAAGAGAAGAAAGCAAACCAATGTGTAGACTTATGGTGATAAATGACACAGATATGTGTTCAATAAATGGGGTGCTCACCTGGTCCTGAGCCTACGAATCCCGGCTCTAGGTATGTGGATTTTGTGCCAGTTTGAATGGGGATGGCACTACCCCTGTGTCAGTACAGCTGACTGAAGAAGCTCTATTTGAGAGTGAAACGCGTATTGGCCATTTTTAAAGGACTTTTATTTGAGGACTTTTATCATCTTTGTTTTTATGTTTATTTTAAACTAATAAATTCACCATTTTCATTCAATACCTCATCCAAGTTCCTTTTGGAGCCTCCAAGGAATCCTCACACTTCACTAGGCCAAACCCCCATAGCCAATTATCACCAAAAATAGCCGCAAAGCCTGAGGTGGCAGCTGCATCTGTAAAAATAGTAAGGAAGTCAGAGGTAAGTAAAAGGATAAACATGCTTTTCCCATTCCATCTCATGAGAACTTCCTGCCAAATGCGTAAATCCGCGGTAGCCGGAATGTCCAGTGAAATGCGGGAAATATCAGACTGAAAGCGGGGAAACAGATTGAGCAGTCTAGAAATAAAAGCCCTGCCCTGTGGCATAAGTTTCATGGCAAAGTTGAGGGAGCCTAGTAGAGACTATAATTCTGTATGATTACAAGTTCCCGCAGAGAGATATAGATTGATGCTGGATAGGATGCGCTCAATCTTATCTCTAGGCAAACTGGCTTGCATATTAACCGAATCTAGTGTGATACCCAGGAAATTAATCAACATGTCGGGTTCTTCTGTCTTTTTAGGGGAGATGTAGACCCCCAGGTATTGGAAAAGCTGGATCGTGGCTATCAGGCTACTGGGTGGAAATAAGTTACTCTTAATATTCAAGAAGTCATCTAAATAGTGAATAACTGTGGGGTATCTACAGGCATTGAGCAGTAACCAGCATAAAGTCTCAGCGAAGGTATCGAAAATCCTGGGGTTACTTTTTGCACCAAAAGTGAGACAAGTGAAAAAATAGTAAGAACCCTGCCACTTAACACCGTGTAGATGCTACAAAGAAGGATGGATTTGGAGGAGGTGGAAGGCGTTAATGATGTCAGTCTTACTGAGCCATGCCCCCTTCCCTGCTGTCAGAATTGGATCAATGGCGTTATCAATGGTTGCATACTAAAGGGAGAATTCCGCTGAAGGAATGAGAAAGTTCAGACTGGAGGTCATGGAAGAGTGGGGAGCAGAGAGGTCGACAATCAACCTTTGCTTGGCTGAACTTTACCAAAGACCACCCCTATAGGGTTAATTCTCCATAGACGGTGGGGAACTGAACGGCCCAAGTAGGAAACCTTGATCCAATTTAATCAGTAACAGAGTGTTAACCACTATTGGATTCGCAAGGGTGGACAGCAGGTTCTTACATTCTACAATGCCGATGGCATGTAAATGATTCCCAAATGGAACCCTTCCGCAAATCCAGTCACCAAAACCTCCATCAAGTGGGGTGAGGGATGGTTATGTAATAAGTCAGCGAAACAAGTCACATTGATTGAGACCATGTAGGGTTTGGGAAACAATTTATTTGGACATATTGTTTTGGCATGTGCCCTAAAACAAAGACAACACACATGCAATAACCGGCAAGCACTAAATCCACAGGAACCTGCATTAAAGTTGTCGCAAATCTGGGATTTACCCAGAAAAACAATATTACGACCAAGCTTGTCCTTAATTACCTTCTCAGGTTTAACTAAGGAGGTTGGGAAAGGAAAGGTAGCACCCAGCTCTGGGGTATTAGGACATAGGTTAGTGGTATGTGAGGATGAAGAGCAAATACAACAAGCTGGGGACCTGAGGCCCACAAAGTGCCTGCCAACTGGCTCCAGTCCATCTTAAAAAATTGAACTGAGCTAGAGCTGCAGACACCTTTGCGGAGACTGATCTGTGGTAATCATAAAATTATGTACCGCCATACTTATGCCCCAGGTCCACCAGCTTGTGTAAATACTGATCGAATTCCTCTCTGTGCTCGGTATAAACTGAGCACACCTTGTCCCTATAAATACTAATGGCCAGGACAAACTCAGGAATTGACATCTTCCTATCAACCTGGGGTCCCTTGCCTTCAGTACAACAGAGACATCGCCATAGGCATGCATCTTGTTCTCCAGAATATTTTGGGAGGCAATCAGCAGCAAAGCTAGATTGACATCCTTGCCTTTCAAGATATCCTTCTTAATATTAGCTCGCACCATGTGAGCTGGGTTGATAATTTTAGGGTTCTGTAGTGGACAAATGAATTTAACAGTCAGGGTGCCTGAGAGATCAGTAGGTTCTGAAGTAACCAATCCAGATGGTGCCACGAGCCTATCACTAGCATCCAAACGGTCCAACCTATCAGTAATCTGTCCCAACGAGGACAAGACCGATGGCAGGATGGCCTGGAGGTCGGATGATTGGGCACTACTGGGGCTATCACCAGTCCCGGTGTTATCCGTGTTGGGCAATCTATAAAGTTCAGCCTTCCTGGCAGTGGCAAGGTAGGGAATATTATTACGCCTTAATTCGGCCATGATCCTAGGCATGGTCCAAGACCTGAGGGAAGACAGGCTGGCGTTGTCCCCTCTGTGAGATGGAGAGATTGACCTTGCATGAGGGCTGGGAATTAACAAATCTTCAATAGCGTCTGGTAGTTCTGATATGCTAGGATAGGACAAAAATTCATGAGTAACCAAAGTGATAATATTGTACTGGCTAGCTTGCCTAATGCCAAGTGGCAAAGAAATTTAGTAATGGAGAGGGGAGCCATACTAATTGCCATGTGGCATGAGAGGCTCTAGCTATGTGCTGGTGTGAGGGGATTTTGTGGCCACCAAAAATGTGGCGGGTGTCGGCCTTTCAGTGACCGGTAGAGCAAAAACTAGCATGGAAGTGACAGGGGGAGGCAGTCTCTATACCATCATGTGAAGCGACTAACTATGAGGTGGCCATTGGGCATGAGTACCTCTGAGTATGAGGATGGTTGTTGGCCTCACGGGACCACTAAGACAAGGCAAGAAGGCCAGAAAAATAAATAAGCGGACTCTGAAATCTATCAGCCAGTAGATAAAGTCTTACCCTAGTATCAGTTGCAGGATTGGGAAGAGGGGAAGGTGTAACGACCACTGGGTTCACATATCTGTTGTATCAGATGGATATAGAGTAGGACAGAGTAGAACAAACCCGAGCAGTACATATGAGAGTAATAGCAATGTTGTAGTACCCATATTCTGACTGTTAAATAGCAGAAGAACAAAATAATATTGGATGCCTACCAGCCAATAGACTAGGCCTAAAATGAACCAGAAAAGCGTAATAGGTAATATAACCAGTAACATAAAAGGAACAAATGAGGTTATCTGGGTAGCGAGGGTCAGATCTTGGATCCCCAAGACAAATCTAAAAGACTAGCCGATGTGAAATTGTAGAAATCGAAAGAGGGGAGATCATAGTGAAATGGCAGAGTGACTTCAATCTGTAATATATAATATCACCAATATCAGAGCCATCAAGAGAGCATAACTGACTACTAATTGACAAACAATAAAAAGGACCCACCTAAACCGAGTTGGACAATTGAGCCAACCAGAACCTATGAGACTTGAAAAACCCTAAGAGGCACAGCCAAAAGGAAGGTTCAAGCCCGGCACCCTATAAAACATCTTGTTACAACATATCTAATAGGCAGAACAAAATCTAGCAACAATGTGCTGCTCAATTAAATTTAAACAGAAAAGTATTTGATCAGAAATTTAAAACGTGTAGTACTCCCCTTTGGCCTCTAGAGGCCATCAGCCTATCAAGCATATACATACAAATATGCGAATGTCCGCATGGACCCAAGGAATACCTATTACTATAATAGGGCATTTGGCTGTAATTATACGAACGGCGCCAAAGAGGAGCAAAGAGCCGCATAACATTTGATCGCTCTATGTCTAACCGAACACTATAACAGACATGTTGTACGAATCGTAAGTAACGTTCGAGCAGACGTTGGGCAGACTCTCTAAGAGCAGGTAAGGTAAGCAAAATGGCGATCTGCTGCAGCCCGAAGTCCAGGTATGCAAATCACCAGACCAACAAAAATCACCAGACCAAAAACGGTAATGAGGAGGTGCCCGGCAATCCTTAAGTAGGGAAATCATGCCCCTCTCACTACTACAGGCCCAGCCTTATATATATACATAATATATATATATATAAAAGTATTGGGGCACACAGACATTTGTGAAATAAGGGTCTTTCTGAAGAGCTCAATATACTTAAGCATGGTATTGTGATAGGATGCCACCTTGGCAATAAGTCAGTTCGTTAAATATTATCCTTCCTAGATATTCTACAGTCAATTGTAAGTAGTTTTATTGGAAAGTTCAAGCATTTAGGAACAGCAGCAACTCAGCCATGAAGCTAAAGGACACTTAAAGTCACACAGCAGGGTCTCCAATTGCTGAGGTATGTAAGAATTGCCAATGCTCTGCTAATTCCATTGTTGAAGAGTTCTAAACTTCCACTGGCATTAATTTCAGCACAACAACTATGATGCGTGAGCTTCATGCAATGGGCTTCCATGGCCGAGCAGCTGCATGCAAGATTCACATCACCAAGTACAATGCCAAGAGGCAGATCAAGAGGTCTAAAACATTCCACCACCGGATTCAGGAAAAGTGGAAACGTGTTCTGTGAAATGACGAATCACACTTCTCTGTTTGGCAGTCTGATGGGTGAGTCTGGATTTGGCAGATACCAGGAGAAAGTTACCTGCCTAACTACATTGTGCCAACTGTAAAATTTGGTAGAGGAGGGATAATGGAATGGGGCTGTTATTTAGGGGTTGGGTAGGTCACTTACTTCCAGTGAAGTCAAATGTTTATTCTTCAGTATACCAAGACATTTTGGACAATGCTATGCTTCCAACGTTGTGGGAACAGTTTGGGGAAGCATGACTGTGCCCCAGTGCACAAAGCAAGGTCCATAAAGGCATGATTAGATACGTTTGTTGTAGAAGAAGTTGACTGGCCCACACAGAGCCCTGACCTTAACCCCATCAAACACCTTTGATATGAACTGGAATGGAAAGTGTGAATCGGGACTGATCTCCCAAATGGGCAACAATCCACAGAAGCACGCCAAAATCTTGTGGAAAGCATATATACATGTGTTTATATACTGTGTATACTAATTAATACTCCAGAAACTAACCCAGAATCCATACTTTCTGTAATTAGCAATAGTAAACAATCTCAGTTGTTATAGCTTCCACTCTGTTAGCAACTTTCTCCTTTCCTCTACCCACCCTCACTATTTCCCCTAAATGATAATCATTTAAAAGAACTTTAGTAAAGCATGTCAATTTACCTATGAATTAAGCTCCCTTCCATAATCTGTCAGTTCTATGGCTTGCATAGTTTGGCCTCTAACCTTTATCTAACCTCATTAAACCTTATTCTACAACTATAGCATGTTATATTACTTGAATTAATAACGTATGTAGACTGTCAAAATGCAATCTGCAGCTATCATCCTTCAGAATGCATTTCTCATTTTTTATATTTGTATCCCCATTCTTCAGGGTGTTAGTTGGAGCAGATCCCTCATCACGTCCTCCTCCCGCTTATTTAAATTAGCCATCTCACTGTGTTTTCTTTACCCATTGTAGAGAATACCACCTCATAAATAAAATTATTAATCATCATATCAACATCTAAACAAGTAGTGATTAGTATAATAAGCATTATTTTATTATACTGAGGGTGCATAATGTTTTTCATATTAGAGTAGCATTTTGATATGAGAGAAAAGAACAAAGTTGCATTAAATTTCAAGCCGGAATATTTTGAAAAAATACCACTGCATCACATTTATAAATGTCAGTCGAACTGAATGTCTGCAGACATTAATTGTGGTTAACAACAGTGTATAATATAAGCCAGGAAAAATATAGTTGCATGTCTTACTTTCTTCCTGGATTTCATAAAGAATTCATTTCTATGTATGTATGTATGTGTGTGTACATATATATATATATATATATTTGTACCAGAGCTCGAGTCCTGCAGGAACGCATGGGAACTGCACTTTTTCCACAGCAGGAATGCCGTTAGCCTTAGTAGTCCTGCAGGACCTGCCACGGCAGATCCAGGGCAGGTGTACATGGTGCACTGCGCCAGGAGGTGGGGGTGCTGTGTGAAGCAGGCCGATGGCCTGTCACAGGGAGCCCAGCAGGTGGCCAGTGGGCCACCTAAGGGTGCCCCCGGAGCGGCGCCTATTTAGTACTGTATGTGTCTGAAAGAAAGTATGTGTGTGTGTGTGTCAATAAGTGTGTCTATCAGTAAGTGTGCGTGTCTGTCAGTGTGACTGTCAGTGTGTGTCTGTCTGTCTGTCAGTAAGTGTGTGTGACTGTCACTGTGTGTGTGTTTGTGTCTGTCTGTCACTGTGTATGTGTCAGTATGTGTATGTCTGTTAGTGTTTGTGTATGCCTGTCAGTGTGTGTGTCTGTCATTAAGTTTGTCAGTGTGTGTCTGTTTGTCAGCAAGTGTGTATGTCAGTGTGTGTGTGTCTGTCAGTAAGTTTGTGTGTGATTGTATGTGTCTAAACTTTAAGCACAGTATATAGGAGACATGGAAAATCAAGTATAGTGTCCCTATGGGAGTGGGCACCTCTAAAGGGGCCGAGTGGATACTGACCAGTAATATTAAAGTGCCCTTATGAAAAAAAGTGATATAAGCCCTCCTTTGGGACTTGTAGTAGTTAAAACTTAACTTTTAATAAATATATGTGTGATAAAAATAGAATACTTCAAACAAAAAGAAAAAAGGGAAAATACATGTATACACAAATGATAAATAAAATCAGGTAGAGACCCAATTCTTACATGGTGAAAGCCTGGCAGTCTGGGAACAATGGAGCCAAATGACAAATTGCTCCATCTAAACTGGGTTGAATTTGTCAGGCTTAGCTGAGTTTTAACCCAAAATCAATTGGACCCTACAAAGAGGACCATCTACTCTGACGGCATTAATAAATGAGCATGGATAACTTGGACGTACTCTGGAGAGGATATCTCCATATACTTGTATTTGTAAACTGGCACTTTACAATTTATTTGCATTCGAGCGTATAATTTTTTATTTTGGGGGCGAGGGGGTTGGATCTTGGGTGAGTTCCCACACTTTTTTCCCCAGGACTTGATCCCTGATATATACATATATGTATTTATATACACTACTGTCGGTACATATATCTACCTAATGTATTAGCACTGTCTACATCAGGGGTAGCAACCTTTTTCTGTATGAGTGCCAAATGCCAAGTCTGTAAATGGATCTATATAGCTAATATAATTGTATTAGGCTCCTCAATCTGGTACACTTATGAGGGTATCCCATTTATAGTATAAAAATACCACACTAGCTATCCTTTCTCCTCTCTCAGATGCAGAGAGATTTTGCATCCATACCATATCTTAGTGATGAAGTTTTCATATTATATAAAAGTATTTGGTTTCCAACTGAAATATTGCTTAAAAGTAAATGTGTGAGTGATTTTTAGCATTAAGATAAATGTGTGTGTTCTATGCATTGGCATTTGGTATACTCAAGCCTGTGGACATGTATGAAAGGCCTGTCACTCCAGGGGGCCTGGCCACCCTGCGGACCCCTGTAACCGCTGGCTATATAACGCGACCCTAGCCTGCACGGTATATCTGCTTGGGCTGCACATTCAGGAGCCCATTGTGTGGCCCATGCTGTTATGGCCACCCGATGGCAATGAATTTCCAGGGGGCCCGGTCGAAGATGTGGCGCTTTAGCAGCGCGACCAGGCCTTTTTTGATGATGTCAGAGCTGGGAGAAAGTGACTGCCTCACTTCCTCCCAGCAATCACCGTGCCGCAAGGGAGGAGGAAGGAGAGGAGGAAGTCAGAGCTACTGGACCCCAGGGAAAGTCACCCTCCTGCACCTAAAAAGTAGTAAACAGAAGGGTGACTAAAACATTTTGCATGTGTGTTTGTTAGTGTATGTGTGTCTGTGTCTCTCTATGTGTGTGTGTGTATTTGTGTGTTTGTATGTGTGTTTGTGTGTGTGTATATGTGTGTGTGTGTGTTTATATGTATGTATGTATGTTTATGTGTGTCTGTATGTATGTGTGTTTGTACTTATGTGTGTGTGTATATGTGTATGTGTCTGTATGTATGTGTGCTTGTATGTGTGTGTGTGTGTGTCTATGTGTAACTGTCTGCATGTGTATTTATATGTATATCTGTATGTCTGCATATCTGTATGTCAGTGTTTGCCATATGTATCTGTATGTGTGTCACTGTTTGAATCTGTATGAGTGTCATCATGTGTATCTGAATGTTCATCATAAAGTGTCTTTGAATCTGCATGTGTGTCCGTGTATATATCTGTATGTGTTATATGGTGTATATCTGGATGTATGTCAGTATGTGTTTGTTTATCTGCATGTGTGTCTGTGCAACTGTCACCCCACCACACACACTGTCACCCCCTTCACCCTGCCACACTCACAATAACTCCCCCAATCCTATCACTCACCCATGCTATACTCACCTCCTATCTATCTGCCATGTTAACCTATCACATTCATTCTCCATCATTCTGTCACACTCGCCCCCTTTCACCCTATCACATGAACCCCTCCAATTCTGTCATACTCACACACCCCAACCATGCCACACTCACCCTGTGGGGCATAAATGAAACACAGAGAGGGGCTGGGGTGTGTGAATGTGACAAATGGGGGAGCATGGGACGTATGGGGGGTCCAGGGCAATTTTAGCATCAGGCCCCGTGGCTTCTAGTAATGCCTTTGCCCATATAATAACAGGCATGTAGGCAACCTTGCTCCTTGAATAGATGGAACCTTGCAGTCTCCACTAGAGTAAAACAGGCCAACAAATCTGTGTTGTTAACTTGGATTACATTGATTTTAGTAATAAAAGTGCAACAAGAATGCATTTTAAATGTAAAATGCGAATTTCAGGAGGTTTATGTATACAGTCAGTGTGACCTAAATGTGCACTGTCCACAGCAATACTGGAGTTTAAATGAACCATACAAAACACATTTTATCCAGACGTAAATTAAACTCACTGAGAAAAAAACAGCATGATTCTCTCAACCTCTCTGCACCCATACCACCAACATCTCTTATTTCTATGGCATTACAGTCACATACCACCCACATCACAAAAATCATTGGAAAGACACTTTTGTGGCACATATACAGGGCCGGTGCAAGTATTATTGCCGCCCTAGGCAAAAGAAAAATTATATCTGGATGTATGTCAGTATCAGGGGTAGCAACCTTTTTCTGTATGAGTGCCAAATGCCAAGTCTGTAAGTGGATTTATATAGGTAATATAATTGTATTAGGCTCCTCAATCTGGTACACTTATGAGGGGTTCCCATTTATAGTATAAGGATACCACACTAGCTATCCTTTCTCCTCTCTCGGATGCAGAGAGATTTTGCATCCATGCCATCTTATATTTACTCTTTCATTTAGGAGCGCAGGCAGAGCAGATTCTCTAAGTCAGTTATATAAGTTTAAGGTAGTGAAAGGGTGATCAGTACCACACTTATTTACCTATTACAAGGCAGCTCAATTCACTATGTTAGCTCAAATCCTTGGGTGCATCTGGCCTTCAGATTGGCTTTTATCATTTTTATATGACCAATAGTATATTGATCCAACTAGTTCATAATTGATTAATGATACAGTGTCAAAGGGGCATGGGCCTTCTGGTCTGTGAGTTGTAGGTTGCCGAATCCTTGTGTACATATTTTAAAAGCAGCACATTCAAAAATGACACAGTGGAATATGAAACTGTAAAATAAAACAAACAAAAAAATGCATATCTTAATGATAAAGTTTTCATATTATATAAAAGTACTTGGTTTCCAACTGAAATATTGCTTAAAAAGTAAATGTGTGAGTGATTTTTAGCATTAAGATAAATGTGTGTGTTCTATGCATTGGCATTTGGTATACTCAAGCCTGTGGACATGTATGAAAGGCACTGAAGGTCTCTTTCCATTTCCTTTATTGGGGACATGTAAATATCCCCGTATACAGTAGCGGAACTATCGTGGTCACAGGGGTCGCAGCTGCAACCGGGCCCGTCATTCCAGGAGGCCTGGCCGCCCTGTGGACCCCTGTAACCGGGGTTCCGCTGGCTATATAACGCGACCCTAGCCTGCACGGTAAATCTGCGGGGGCTGCACGTTCAGGAGCCCATCGGGTGGCCCATGTTATTATGGCCACCCGATGGCAATGAATTTCCAGGGGGCCCAGTCAGAGCAGGCCTCTTTTGATGATGTCAGAGCTGGGAGAAAGTGACTGCTCTGTCACTTCCTCCCAGCAATCACTGTGCTGCAAGGGAGGAGGAAGGAGAGGAGGGAGTCAGAGTGGGAACTCTGACTCTTATCAGCCTGAGCCACTGGACCCCAGGGAAAGTCACCCTCCTGCACCTGAAAAGTACTAAACAGGAGGGTGACTAAAACATTTTGCATGTGTGTTTGTTAGTGTATGTGTGTCTGTATGTATATGTATTTGTATGTGTGTGTATGTGTGTGTGCGCTTGTATGTACAGTTGCAAGAAAAGGTATGTGAACCCTTTGGAATGATATGGATTTCTGCACAAATTGGTCATAAAATGTGATCTGATCATCATCTAAGTCACAACAATAGACAATCACAGTCTGCTTAACTTAATAACACACAAAGAATGAAATGTTGCTATGTTTTTATTGAACACACCATGTAAACATTCACAGTTCAGGTGAAAAAAGTATGTGAACCCCTAGACTAATGACATCTCCAAGAGCTAATTGGAGTGAGATGTCAGCCAACTGGAGTCCAATCAATGAGATGAGATTGGAGGTGTTGGTTACAGCTGCCCTGCCCTATAAAAAACACACACCAGTTCTGGGTTTACTTTTCACAAGAAGCATTGCCTGATGTGAATGATGCCTCGCACAAAAGAGCTTTCAGAAGACCTACGATTAGGAATTGTTGACTTGCATAAAGCTGGAAAGGGTTATAAAAGTATCTCCAAAAGCCTTGCTGTTCATCAGTCCACGGTTAGATAAATTGTCTATAAATGGAGAAAGTTCAGCACTGCTGCTACTCTCCCTAGGAGTGGCCGTCCTGTAAAGATGACTGCAATAGCACAGCGCAGACTGCTCAAAGAGGTGAAGAAGAATCGTAGAGTGTCAGCTAAAGACTTACAAAAGTCACTGGAGAATGCTAACATCCCTGTTAGCGAATCGACAATACGTAAAACACTAAACAAGAATGGATTTCATGGGAGGATACCACAGAGGAAGCCACTGCTGTCCAAACAAAACATTGCTGCACGTTTACAATTTGCACAAGAGCACCTGGATGTTCCACAGCAGTACTGGCAAAATATTCTGTGGACAGATGAAACCAAAGTTGAGTTGTTTGGAAGAAACACACAATACTATGTGTGGCGAAAAAAAGGCACAGCACACCAACATCAAAACCTCATCCTAACTGTGAAGAATGGTGGTGGGGGCATCATGGTTTGGGGCTGCTTTGCTGCGTCAGGGCCTGGACGGATTGCTATTATCAAAGGAAAAATAAATTCCCAAGTTTATCATGACATTTTGCAGGAGAACTTAAGGCCATCTGTCTACCATCTGAAGCTCAATAGAAGATGGGTGCTGCAACAGGACAATGACCCAAAGCATAGAAGTAAATCAACAACAGAATGGCTTAAACAGAAGAAAATATGCCTTCTGAAGTGGCCCAGTCAGAGTCCTGACCTCAACCCGATTGAGATGCTGTGGCATGACCTCAAGAAAGCGATTCACACCAGACATCCCAAGAATATTGCTGAACTGAAACAGTTCTGTAAAGAGGAATGGTCAAGAATTACTCCTGACCGTTGTGCATGTCTGATCTGCAACTACAGGAAACATTTGGTTGAAGTTATTGCTGCCAAAGGAGGTTCAACCAGTTATTAAATCCAAGGGTTCACATACTTTTTCCACCTGCACTGTGAATGTTTACATGGTGTGTTCAATAAAAACATGGCAACATTTCATTCTTTGTGTGTTATTAGTTTAAGCAGACTGTGATTGTCTATTGTTGTGACTTAGATGATGATCAGATCACATTTTATGACCAATTTGCACAGAAATCCATATCATTCCAAAGGGTTCACATACTTTTTCTTGCAACTGTATGTATGTGTATGTGTGTCTGTATGTATTTGTGTTTGTACGTATGTGTGTGTGTGTGTATGTGTGTATGTGTCTGTATGTATGTGTATCTGTCTGCATGTGTGTTTATATGTATGTCTGCATATCTGTATGTCAGTGTTTGCCATATGTATCTGTTTGTGTGTCACTGTTTGAATCTGTATGAGTGTCATCATGTGTATCTGAATGTTCATCATTAAGTGTCTGTGTATCTGCATGTGTGTCCATGTGTGTATTTGTATGTGTTATATGGTGTATATCTGGATGTATGTCAGTATGTGTTTGTTTATCTGCATGTGTGTCTGTGCAACTGTCACCCCACCACACACACTGTCACCTCCTTCATCCTGCCACACTCACAATAACTCCCCCAATCCTATCACTCACCCATGCTATACTCACCTCCCATCTATCTGCCATGTTAACCTATCACACTCACCTTCTCTAGCACTGTCACACTCATTCTCCATCATTCTGTCACACTCGCTCCCTCCCCCCCTATCACATGAACCCCTCTAATTCTGTCATACTCATCCCCCCCCAACCATACCACACTCACCCTGTGGGGCATAAATGAAACACAGAGAGGAGCTGGGGTGTGTGAATGTGACAAATGGGAGAGCAGGGGAGGTAGGGGGGAAGGGATGTATGGGGGCAGGGTAGATGTATGGGGGGTCCCCGTGGCTTCTATTTATGCCTCTACCTATAAAATAACAGGCATTTAGGCAACCTTTCCACTTGAATAGATGGAACCTTGCAGTCTCCGCTAGAGTAAAACATGCCAACAAGTCTGTGTTTTTAACTTGGATTACATTGATTTTAGTAAGAAAAGTGCAACAAGCATGTATTTTAAATGTAAAATGTGAATTTCAGGAGGTTTATGTATACAGTTAGTGTGACCTAAATGTCCACAGCAATACTGGAGTTTAAATGAGCCATACAAAACACATTTTATCCAGATGTAAATTAAACTCACTGAGAAAAAGACAGCATGATTCTCTCAACCTCTCTGCACCCATACCACCAACATCTCTTCTTTCTATGGCACTACAGTCACATACCACCCATATCACAAAAAGCATTGGAAAGACACTTTTGTGGCACATATACAGGGCAGGTGCAAGGAATTTTGCCGCCCTAGGCAAAAGAAAAATTTGCGGCCCCCTCTCCCCCATGTGACATCACAATGCCTTATGACCTGCCATATGAACTAATGCCAGTGCTGCACACAGTGTATGTTTACATTAAAAAGCCTGCAGGCCTTTAATGTGAGGTAAATTAGAGATTAGTGTCACTAATAATACACTAGATTGCCTACTTACAACCAGATGAGGATGGTGATAGGCTCTGGCTGCAGTCTGGCTCCACTGGTCTGGTGTAGAACAGGATCTCTGGAGGCTGTTTGTAACTGTGGTCACAAAACTCAATGTTCTGGGAGAACGGAAAGCAGCTCCATTTTTTGAGGCCCTTTACACAGCTCAAGGTCTGGGCCCCAGGGCCTGACTGTGAGTATGCCCATAAGGCCCACCCATAAGTCCACCTATGGAGTGGTGTGTGTAGAGGATGTGTTATGTGTTATTGTAGAGGATCTAAAGTGTGTGCTTATGGAATGTAGTGTATAGGGATACCAGTGTAGGTGATGCAGTGAGTGTGTGTAGTGGATGTAATGTGTTTTTGTGTAAGGGATAGAAAGCATTGTGTTTTTGTGTGTAGGGGATGTATTGTGTGTTTCTGGATGTGTGTAAGGGATGCATTGTGTGAATCTGTGTTTGTATGTGTAAGGGATGCAAGGTGTGCTTCTGTAAGGGGTGCATTGAGTGTGTGTAAGGGGTGCATTGAGTGTGTGTGTAAAATATGCATTGTGTTTCAGTGTGTGTTTCTATGTGTGTAAGGGATGCATTGTGTGTTTCTGTGTATGTGTGCAAGGGGTGCATTGTCTTTGTTTGAAAGGGTTGCAGTGTGTGTGTGTTTGTGTGTGTGTAATGGATGCATTGTGTGTTTCTCTGTGTGTAAGGGAAGCATGGTGTGTTTCTGTGTATGTATAGGGATGCATTGTGTGTGTGTAGTGTGAAATAGAGAGTTTGTGGGGTTGGTGTTCAACCAGCTCCTTTGTGCTTCTCTTTCCCTCCTTCCTTAGTCTCTCTCCCCTCTTGTCCCTTAGAGCTCTCCCCTCCTGTCCCTTAGTGCTCTCCTTTCCTGTCCCTTAGTGATCTCCCTGCCCCCTTTCCCTTAGTGGTCTCCCCTCCTGTCCCTTACTGCTGTATCCTGCCCCACTGTCCCTTATTTATCTCCCCTGCCCCACTGTTCCTGAGAGCTCTCCCCTGCCCCCAATCCCTTACAGCTCTCCCCTCCTGTCCATTAGTGCTCTCCCCTCCCATCCCTTAGAGCTCTCTCCTACCCCCCCTCCCTTCCATCCTTTGGTGCTAACCCCGTCCTTTAGAGCTCTCCCTTCTGTCTCTTAGAACTCTCCCCTACCCTTTAGTGTCTCTCCTCCAGTGTCCCTTAGTGGTCTCTCCTCTCCCCCCACCCTTAGTAGTTTCTCCTCTTCCCCCACCCTTAGTGGTCTCTCCTCACCACCCTCCCCTAGTGGTCTCTACGCCACCCCCATGCCTCCCTTAATGGTCTCTCCTCTCCCCCCACCCTTAGTGGTCTCTCCTCACCCCCACCCATAGTGGTCTCTCCTCCACCCCCTCCTCCCTTCCATGTGGTCTCTCCTCACCCCCCCCATAGTTGTCTCTCCTCCACCCTCTTCCTCCCATATTGGTCTCTCCTCCACCCCTCCCTCCCATGGTGGTCTCTCCTCCACCCCTCCCTCCAATAGTGGTCTCTCCTCCACCCCTCCCTCCAATAGTGGTCTCTCTTCACTCCCACCTCCCTCCAATAGTGGTCTCTCACCCCTCTCCCTACATTGTCTCCCCCCCATTCTCCTCACCCCTCTCCCCTACCCTGTGTAGCATGACAAAGCTCCGGTCCGGTCCGCGGTACAGGAGCTTCTCTTTCCTGTACCCGGCCGGACTGACAGGAAGTGCTCACTGAGGAAGTGCTCCTGTACCGCGGACAGGAGTGGAACTCGGCCACGCTAAATTGAGGGACTGGCAGGAGGGAGCGCTGTGCACTTCCCTCCTGCTGATCCCTCATATCTTGCAAACCCGGGCCGGTGCACCCTAATGGACGCGCCGGGCCGGGCAGAGCTACAGCCGCCTGAGGCTCTCTATAGAGAGCGTCTCTATATGCGCCGGCCCTGCACGTATAGTATATATACACACTGATCAGCCACAACATTAAAACCACCTGCCTAAAATCATGTAGGTCCCCCTAGTGCAACCAAAACAGCTCTGGTGTGTTTAGGCATGGACTCCAAAAGATCTTTGAACATGTCCTGTGATAGCAGGCACCAAAACATGAGGAGCAAATCCTTTAAGTCCTGCATTTTGCGAAGTGGGGACTCCATCGGATCAGATTTGGATTATAGGATTTGTTCCAGTACATCCCACAGATGCTCAATTGCATCTGACGAATTCGGAGAACTCTTTGTTATGTTCCTCAAACCACTCCTGAACAATTTTGAAATGTGGCAGAGTGCATTATCCTGCTGAAATAGGCTATGGCCATCAGGAAACCTAATTTCCATGAAAGGTTGTATGTGGTCTGCAACAATCTCTAGGTAGCTGGTACATGTAAAAGTAACATCTGGAAAAATGTCAGGACCCAAGGTTACCCAGCAGAACCATTCACCCATATCACAGGAAGGAGGGAGAAAGCAAGGAGAGAGAAAAATAAATAAAAACTTTATATGAAAAATAAATTTTCTCCTCTACCGATCAGATGTAGTTTGCCAACTATATTATAGCAAGCTGAAGTGGCATGGCACTGTCTTTAAAGACAGATAGTATTCTACAAATGACAAAAACAAATTACAGATGGCTTTCCTCCAGAAAGGGAAGTATCTATTTAATCATAAAAATGTGATGGGACAGCAACTACCACCACATCTGGCCTATGTAATTTGACGAAGAACCATTGCTTCTTTGAAAATTACTTTGTTAAAACACTGAAACTCACCTCTAACTTTTTTCTTGTAATAACTCATCTTTTTTTGAAATTTATATTAGATTTTGGAAATGTCACCACAGCCCAGTTCAGTTTAGGAACAGCCAGGACACACATTGCAAATGAGGAGGGCAAATAGAAAGCATTGTTTAATTTGTCCTTTCTCCATGCTGACTGCTAAGTGCAAATGATACAGCTACTAACAAGGATTAACAGAGACAAAATACAGAGATGCCCATTTGCAGGATATAGAGGTGTGGATTTCTACATTTAATTGAATTTTCACACCTCTCACACACATATTGAGTAAGTTGGGATTTACAATTTAATAGTTGGAATGGAACGGGATAGATGTAGCCAATCAGGGCTGGATTTACGTGGCAGGTGCCTGTGGTGCCAAGATTCATATATCCAAATTTGACAACTGCATATGTGTAAATTTCTGAGCGTATTAAATACATTTTGAATCTTTGGGTGAATGCAGCTGTGTAAATGCATGCATTGTTCAAGAAAATGTTAGATGTGATTAGGGTAAAGGGAGGTTTAAGTGGACACTCCAAGCATTTATGTGTGAAGAGTGTATCCTCTTTTTTCCATTTTACAAAAAGTGCAGATTTTAAAAGAAATTAGCACTTTTGTCCATTAACCCAGAGCGCCTGCCTTGCAAAGACTTCTATGGCATTGCAACATTTGTGAATGGACATCCACAGAAAGTCAGAGCTGAATTAGAAGAGGATATAGCTACTATTTATTTTATTTCGGCAGTGGCGTTTACCTATAAGGTAAGAGAGAGGTTAATGTTTGAGATTACATAAGGCATTTATTGTTAAAGTGTTGAAAAATGGCTTAAAACTTGAGAGGGGTAAGGTTATGGTATAAGGGGTGATTAGAATGAATGGATTTAGGGTAAGAGTGGGGTGAAGTATTTGGGTACAGTGGGTGTTTAGGATTATTGAGCTTAAGGTTAGAGTTGAGTTAAAGTCTACTAGACTTTCTTCAAGACAGATGAAACACGGATTCCAGTGTTTATTATTGCTAATATTTATTTGATATCATTGTTACTAGTAATAAATAATTACTTTTTCATTATTTATAATACGTCTTTGGTGATATCATTACCTACTAGTGATCCCTTCCTGATAACTGCACCCTGAGTTCCTATGAGGGCATTGTCACCCTATATTTGACAATGAGGCTGCAAACTTGGAGACAGCCATTTATGGGCTCATAACTAAGATGAGCAGGATTTTTTGGGGACACCTGTTTTAAGTGGTTTTAAACAAGACAATATTGCACCATTTGGCTCTCCTTGTTTGTATTACATTTTATATCAACTTCTGCAAGTGTTTAATTACACCATAATTAAAGGAGGTATTGCTGCCACCTCAAGGGGACAGAGGTCAGCATGTTTGGAGTCTTTATCTCTTTAAAAGGCTCCTTTAAATGTGAGTTTTTATTTGTCACTTTGATATTAATTTATAAGTACTCAGCCTCATATGATTTATAGTAGAGCTGCATGAGCCGTGTATATCACTCAAAGCTGTCCCTGCTTCTTCTGAAAACAAGGGAAGATGAGATGGGAAGTCATCCCTTTCACTCCCTATACAGCCACGTGCACAGACATTGGAGGAACTGTGAGAAGTTCCTCTATAACTGCTTCTGCAGCTCTGCTCTCAAGCATAGTAGACTGAGGTGGACTACTGTGTCAAGTCTCCTGGTACTTATCTATGCCAACCAGCCCATCTATGCTACAAAAAGGCATATTATAGGTGCTATAAATAGGTGTCCCTACAGGACAAATGCCTGTAGGCAGGTGACTTCTCTTCCTAATTGGAAATCCAAGTCGTGGATCCAATCCTGATGCCCACTGTGACTTTTTGGGGATTGAGTAGCAATGATGCTGCAGAAAAGCACAGTAGATAGCATATAGCTATAGTCATTGTGGAAGATGCACTAGCATTGCACTCTTTGCAACTACTATACTAGCAGTTCACTGTTGACAAGAAGATAACACCTAAAATCTTGATGTAGAAATAAAATTCCCTAGCAATTTGTTTATTAAAATGTATTTCAGTAGATGAAATTGTATGCTGTATTAAGAGCTGGCATTTTTGAAGGACAAGTGCATTTTGAACAGTAGATCTGAGTTCTGGGACAAAGTCCTGGGAAAGTTTACAAAACACTCCCTTCTCTTCACTCCTCATTCTAATGCTGTCACGAACATTCACGCAAAAAATACCATTTACCTTACATTGCCAAGTCAATTGAGTACTGAAAAACAACATTACCTCCTTCCACCTATGTGTAAGGTGGGGACTTGATTCCTAACTTAAAGGAACACTTCAAGCACTATAATTACCACAGCATGCTGTAGTGTATATGATACCAGTGGTCTTGGCACCCTCCCAGGGCTACAAGTTAAACTGTCTTCAGGAGAGTTTCTGTTAGCAATACTAAGCTACGTCTTACTAATGGCATTATCTGAGTGCTCGAAACAAAACAGCTAAGCCCTGCACTGCTTCTGGCTCTCCTGAAATAGGTGATTGGTACCTGGCAGACCCAATTTGCAAATGGTTTGACTACATACCCTGGGAGGGTGCCTGGGCACTGGTGGCATCACAAGCCTTACAGCACAATGTTTTTTATGGTGCTCAGTGTGTTCCTTTGAGACTACATCAAAGCATCTTATTTATTTATTTTTTGTGGGGGGGGGAGGGGAGAGTAGTTCTGTGGGCCTCCTTTAGTATTTTAATATGTGATGTATTGTTTTAACCATTCAAGGACCAGCTGGCTGCACGCTATTTGTTTATAATTTCATACAGGAGATATTTTCGGATATGTTTAGAGCAGATGGCTAGGCTTACAAACTAGAGTAAGGTGCTACACTGCTGGAAAATCGACATAATCTAAAACAGTGCTGGAAAATCCCATTTTAGTGAGCAATTTTATCTTCACTAGAGCTTTCAGCAATAATAAAGCAGAGGCCACAGTTGGGTGCAGAGATGTAGAGGTACAGACTATATTCAATACTTTCATCTACAGAAAGGGTGGTCAAAGGCAAGCATTCTCTCTGTTTTAATGCAACCACAATCCATCTTAGCTGGCTTGTTGCCTAGTAGATGAGAATATCAATTTACAATTTGCAATCTAAAATGGACACAAGCTGTCTAAAATGCATTATTCCAAATGATCTCTTTGCTATGAGTAATGTGTTATCAACACATACCTTGTTTGCAATGCTTTCTTATACAGACTAAGTTTTTGATCCTGTCTGTTGTATTGTGCTATGACTTTAGAGGGGAATTCTGGGAACAATATCAGTAAATGAGACTGGAGTACCATGAACAGTGAACTAAAACAGGATTAGTAAAAATGTTCTAACTACCCCAAATATCGGAGGGCTGAAAATTAGTATTTAGCAACTGGTCTAGGAATTCCTGTAAATATGTTGATGAATCCTAAATGATTAAATGCCACTACTGCCTTCTAGGTATATGTGATATGTTTCAGCCACAAATAGTCATCATTACGTGGTATTTTATCTTATGTTGTCCTACAAGTCAGGTGGAAGCAATGGAGTCAATGTATACATTCTAAGTTCTAGAAGTGTAGCGGTCAGTAGGACAATTCCATTGAAATCCATGTTGATTGACACACTATTTGAACTTTTCTATTTCGCTCTTTATGTATTACCCGTATAGAATGTCTCAATCAAAACAAAATGTTCTCTCCATCTCTAACGTTACATTTCTCATTTCTTTGAAATGTATGAGCCAAGTACAAGCCTCAGTAGCAATGTGCCTTTATATCAGTATTCTCCCCTAAAACCACGTTTTACAGGTTTGCATAATGTACTGCAACATATGGGCTTTTAAGATTAATCCGAAACAGAATAGTGTCAAATAAAATAAAAGACATTCAGGAATCAGCTAGAGTAAATGAGCCGTTTTGATCATCTGAGTAGATATAAAGTGCAAGCTTCGGAGAAAATAGAGGTCTGTTCTACAGTCAATTTATATATGGAACTATACTCTTCAGCTGCTAGTTAACTAATATAAGAATCACCATTAACAAGCTCCGTGTTTCCAGTATAGCAGAGAGCACCACACTGGCACCACGGCTGTTGTGAACTTCAACTCCAATTAGGTTTAGCCAGCTATAGCAAAACGAAATGTTTATTGATTAGAGAACTGACATAATATCACACTCTCCAAATAGAGGAAAATCTATATTTCTGTTTATGTCATTGGCGCTAAATGAGTCAAACAGAAGGTCTGATTTTCAGCCGTGTAAATAGGAGCACAATTCACAATTAAAATATGTATTGTCTGAATTCAAAGGAGGATTAAGTCAAGCCCAGTAGTTCAAACATTCTCCTTAATTGCTTACTCCAGGGCTGCCTGCATCACGACGTATTAATATGAATAAACCTATGTTATTTCTATGTGGATTACATAGGTTAATGAATAAAGTCAGTGTGCCTATTTATCATCTGTTATAAAAAGAACAATCAGTCCTATGATTAGACATCTGTGTGCTGCTGTTTACCCCCTCGATTTCCTTGTGTGCTCTGATTTATGTAGGGCAGCTAGTTAAGTATATTTTATTGCCGTTTTGGGAATACCATAGTTATTTATCACATAGTATTACAAATTAAGAGTTTTTTCATAGAAAACACTTCAAGTTATGTTTTACAATGAATTAAACGATGGACTGTGCATAACGTGTAACTTTTAACTGTTTGAATAGCCTGCCTCATATTTGCCCACTTAATTACACAGAGCAATGCCCCAGCAGAGACATCCAGTTACTGACAGACACATAAATCCTCGCTCTGTGAGGCTTACTCACTTTTTGATGGAAAACCAATATTGACACAAATTAGCAGAGCTCTGCAAACCTCACAGGGGCTGTATTCATATATCAGTTCCTGCAATGACTCAAAGAGTGACATTATGGTATGAAAAGTAAGCTATATCTTCATATCTAGACATAGTGTGATATATTAAAACGAGGTAGCATTCACAGCAATGCACGTATGAAGAACAATATAAAATAGTAACTTACAAAGTCAAGCTGTAATTTTTCTTTTTTTGTGTGTAAACTTTCTTTGTGAGAAAGTGTTATTTCGCTTTAATTTTCAGCAGATGAGATAAGGTGTTGCTTTGATCTTCTGGCAGTTCAAAGTCCACATTCTCCCAGCTGTGTGTGCCCAGCAAAGGGATGGAGAGTGTATACACAGTAGGCAGAGTTCACGAAGGTGCTCTCAGGCAGATCAGCAGAGTCAGAGACAGTCTTCCAGCTTCTAGAGCAGGGCTCATATGATCCAAGGCACTGGAAGCTGCTAATTAAAGTCTTTGGGAGTCAGGGACGCAGTACTAAAGGAGCCAGTCAATGCTCAGGCTGACTGTAAGTACCACTCCCCCATCACATCTCCTGCCTACACAGCCCTTAGAAAAGCAAAGTCTCTTAGAGTGTTGCAGACTGCACGCTGATATGAGGATAAGCAGGTTGTATCACTTTAATTTCATTGATGCAGTTACACAGGGGACATTGTATCAGCTGCTACATGTCCATTTCAGATGCCGGAAACTAAATTATTATTTAAAGGTCTAGTGTTGAAGAATTGTATTCTTCATTCTGAAGCCAGAATTCATTCAGCAAACGTATATCAAAGACTGCCAGTATGAGGGGTTAAGATATACTGTAAATAGGACAGCAAGATGTTAACTCTTTGTTTCCCCCAATGACTATTTAATAACCCTTGATAATAGAAGAGAGCCAAAGTCACCACCTTTGAATTGGAGTTCATGACCTGTCACTATATTTCATGCAGGTAAATTTTCTGGGGAGCTAAAGAAACATACATGTGACTTCACAAAATAAATGCATCCCTTTCAAGCATTATTTACTGTATACAATCATTATACTAAAATATAACCTCCTTTGAGATATATTACAGTATATGAATTATAAGAATAAAAGCACAGCTGTTAAGGCAGATTTTTTTTTCTTACAGTTCTAAAAGAATTGTATTTTCCTAAGAAATGTAAATAAATATATACATTCTGCATTTGTTATATATGAAGCATCGTAGGTAGTGATGATTATAACATGAACGCAGGATGTGATGCAATTATTGGATCAGCAATGTGATTTACTGCACTTTTTTTTCCGGGGACATAGATTAAAGCAAAATATATATTTATTTCTTTGTGGTAAATCATTATAAATGGTGGTGGATTCCTTAGATTCATCTATGTGGGCAAATTGTATGTGCATTAACAATACGTATTTATCCATATCTCTGTAAAATTCACTTTACTTGTAATTAATAATTTACTATTTGCTCATCTTCTAATCAATACATCTGTCTTGCCCTATTAATGACAATGATTTTACAATATAGAGCAACCCGATCTTTTATTTACAGAGCACAGATTATTTGCCTTATGTAGCAATCAGACTGCCAGGGGGATTAAACTGCCAAGCACAAAGTCTTTCCACAGCAATAGCTATTTTTTAAATCCCATTCCATCCAGTGCCCAGTATGTTTAAAGCACATACTTCATAAAACACTTATCTCTATCAAAGAACAAAAAGCACCATGTTATTTTCATAGCCCTATAAACTCAGAAAACATTTGTTGAAATCTACAGGATTCCAGCAAACGCTATTCTGATGTACATTCATTTATATTTGATATATATCCATCAGTAAACAGATGTAACAATAATATTTAAAACAAGAAGAAACAGTAGGTGCTAGAACAAACCACACATTCCATTACTAAAGTAAGTATAATTTGCAGATCCTGCTGCTCTTACCAACAGCCACGTTTCTAGAAAATGGTTGGATTAATATAATAGTATGGACATCAAGAGCTCTCCGTATAATGCACACATGTTGCTTTAAAAACACGAGTCAAACAATAATCAACACATTTTTCAGTCATATTGATTGGTGCATAAATTAGTTATTGGAATATTCAGATGACCATTATTTCTGTATTCAAAAGACACCAAAATACATAGTAAAAACAAAGTAATTTATATTGACCGTGTTAAAATATTTATGCTCTTATCCTTTTTCCTTCCAGTATATATAGTCGTGTTAACTCTTAAAGCAAAGTAAAATAAAATGCATCATATGAAGCACGTTCATTCAACTGTGTCTAATCTCTACTCCTGCCCAGAGGCCTCCAATCTATAAAACCAGCAAACAGCAAAAAAGCAGATAAACTTTATTTTGACTAAGCAGTACGGACCCTTCCTCTCATCCTGCTTTTTTCTTTCTTTATAGCATGCTTGAGATCTTACTAAAATATTTTCTCACTCTGTTTACATGTTACAAGTGGCTGCAAATATCCTTTAATTCTCTCTGGCTATAACCTCCAAATTCTCCCTACTACATCTTGTCTCAACTACCAATTTTTACCCTTAAATTGCATGCTCATGGGCTATCTAGCTAAGTACCTGACTTAAAAGAGCTCCAACGACTTGCTCTTTTGTATTTATCTGTGTATATTGTAATCTCCTTTTCTGGACAAAAGAGAGATTGTAAATGGCATCATCCAGCCTTCTCTTTCTTTCTACAAAAATCATGCAATTCAAATTTAAAGACTCATGAAAACATGCATGCATTTATAATGCATTTTTAAATGGGATTTATCTAAACACAGCTTGAAAAAGCTTCTTGTCAGATGCCTTTGCAAGCCCTCTTGTTCTAAATCTGCCCAGACTTTCTGTGACTGTCCAATAACTAACTTCCCAATATAGCTCAATGAGAAGTCTTTGCAAGGCAGGTTATCTGTGCAATCACCTGCATCTCGAGTTTAGCCCCACTGAGCTAAACAACAAGGAAGTAACAGTACCTGTTCAGGAGGGTGTAACAAAGTTAATTTATAAAAGTGTCAATTTCTATTGAAATCTGCATTTTTTGTAAAATTAAAAACAGACACTCTTCACACATAAAGCACTTCAGAAAGCTTAGGGGTATGGAGTGTCCCTTTAATCACTGCATTCTGACAAATAGAGACGTTGGAGAAGGGCACTGAGCACACTATGTAGTATAGGAAGTCTTGTAGGCTGCAATAGACACCTGCAATATTCTCAAGATACTTGGTGTAACTGTACTTAGTGTATATAAGCATTATGCCCACATGAAAACAATATGTTTTACATTCTGGTGATATTTGTAAGAAGATACATACTCAGAAAAGAAAACAGGAGCCTTTATAACAATGTGAAAACCAAATATTTGAGCCTTTTTCTCTCTCTATTATTTGTATATGACAAAAAATGTATTTCTGCCAGTATATACTACATTTCCTCTATAGTATACAAAACTAAAACAGTGTATGTGTTTGTTTTGTCAAGAGTTTCAGAGTTTGTGCAGATTAAAAATACACCCATAACTTCTTTTTGGGGTTGAAGAGGAAATACCATTTTTTGCAAAGAGATATTTCTTTATTTCCTCAATGCCATTTGCTAACATGTAAATAATACCAAGACAGGAGCATATATACCATTCATGGGGCCTCTGGGCAATAGGAGATCATGGAGACGCCTTGTTCCTGCCAACTTGCAAGCTACACCCATATATACCCTACCCACATACACGCACCAACCACATGTACATCATTGTGTTACAGAAAGGGATGTCCACATCTTTTATTTGACCCTATTTTACACAGTGTCCCCATCTATCATATGATCTTCTTCCCCACAGTGCCCAGTTCATCATGAGAGCTGAGAGGGGTTAATGAGAGCTGGGAGTGGTAATTAGTGATGTCCCGAACGGTTGGCCGAACAGTTCGCCACGGACGGCGAACATATGCGCTGTTCGGTCCGCCCCCTATGTCATCATTGAGTAAACTTTGACCCAGTACCTCACAGTCAGCAGACACATTCCAGCCAATCAGCAGCAGACCCTCCCTCCCAGACCCTCCCAACTCCTGGACAACATCCATTTTACATTCACTGTGAAGCTGCATTCTTAGTGAGCTGTCCAGGAGGTGGGAGGGAGGGTCTGTTGCTGATTGGCTGGAATGTGTCTGCTGACTGTGAGGTACTGGGTCAAAGTTTACTCAATGATGACATAGGGGGCGGACCGAACAGCGCATATGTTCGCCATCCGTGTCAAAGCGTTCGGAACATCACTTGTGGAGAGTTGAGGGGTTAATAAGAGCTGATGGGCTAATGAACCTGTGGAGAATGAGAGTTAATGCCTTAAATGAGATATTAATATGAGCTGGGAAGGAATGTGATGTAATCTGGGTAGAAGTTGTAATGAACCCCACCACTCTCAGGCAGGCACGTGATTTGCTTCAGTGGGTGAAAAGGTTAAAAATATTTGTCTGCACCAGACTGATAAAAAAAAATCCCTAACATGACCCACATTTATAACAGGTACAACAACAAAAATCAATTAAAAAATCATTATTCCTACAGCAAGGTGGTTTATAAGTGGGATACCTTAGGTTACCCCATCCAAATCAGACTTAAAAACCCACAAACACAGTTTAGCAGAAACACAGTACTAATCTATAATTCTTTTTAGTAATGTGATTTTTATACCAGACAAAGGCAAAATGTAATAAAAGGACAGTTATTATGAACAAAAATAGTCAAAGTGCATACATATGAAAGATAAATTACAAACAAATAGTTAAAATGAATAGGGAGAAAATGAACAGAAAACTCTAATACTCATTGTATTGGCAAAGTACTAGTCCCAAGAGAGATTTTGGTGAGGAAAGTAGAAATCCATTGCAAAATAGATTTGGCTGTCAAAAGGAATTACAAAATCATTTAGGTTTTATCTTGGGTACATTCAATGTTCTGCTTATCCTGGCCCTGCTTGTGGGCAGCAGGGGTTAAGGAATTCCGGTTTTATGATGGGCAATTACCGTATTCCAAAACCTAGCTGAAAATGTACAGTGCTATATACTTTTGTACAGATGCTTTTGATCTGATTTGTAACCAGGCCAGATTATCTAGGTGAATGCAGAAAATAAAATTTGACTCCATATATATATTCATATATACAAAAAAACAAAATAGCATCTAAAATCACTTCCCAAACTTTAAGTGAATGACCATTTATTGAACTCACAATATGCATTGCAAGTGTGTACTATCTGTCAAGCTTTATGACAGCTCATCCGATAAGGTCCAGTGTCAAAGTCATAAATCAAGCCGTAAAGGAATCAAAGTCGTAAATTAATTTACTCTATTTGATTTACAAACAGGAAAACAAAACATGCCTTAATTGCCAAAATGTTTGACAGTATTTTCCAGACACCAACAAGATTTAACCAGATGCAACCCAGACACAGTTCACCTCATAGGTCTTGATTTA